ATTTATTTGGAACAACAAGTGTTAGACAAAGCTAGTTGTGGAAAAACAACCCTATTTATGGAAATAGTTATTATAGAGCTTATAAAATGCTTTAGTTCTTAGTTTTATAGCTTAAATCAAACACATTACGTGATTGTCAAATCGCCACAAAACTTTATGGCGATGTTGAGAAACTATTATGAATAGCTACTTATGATTTTGATTTGGCATCCTGGTACTACTCTTGCGTTATCTGTTTTTCTCACACACTGATATATTTTTTAATAGGCCATGACACATATCCAAAATTTTAAAGATTAAATCTCTCAAGTCCCTCGCCTTGCATCTCGTTGCATTTGTGTCCGATAATATTGAGGCTTGATCCTGCTATGCAGAAGCCAACTTCCATGAATATGACATGGAAAACCTGTAATATTGTCATGTTTCGGTCGGTATTAGATTCCGAAATTCTAGATTTGTCATGATTTGGCTACCCAATCTTACATGGAAGTCACATCATCGTCTACACCGACTTATTCCATCGTGACAGTCAGAAATATGGTACCTAGGACTTCTAAAGGACATATTCAGAAGATAGAACGATATACTTGGCATCGAAGAAAGGCCGTCACGTGGGATGGCTAAACCTTCACAGTCGACATATACCATATCGACTATGTGACCCCAACATCTGTGAACTATTCTCCTTGTTAAATATTGAATGCTTATCTTAGTTATCGTATGTTTGACTCCAAGGGTCGCGTGGTTGGTGACCGAAAGCACTGCAGGTACATGCGTGAAGTTCTTCGCAGCAATACCGCGCTAGCTCAACAGACACGTTACGCCTAGTATGTTTACTATTGATGTTTTTAAGAGGGTACAATCAACCATCCGTAAGATCTTCCCGCTGGCATGCGTTGATGGCAAATTTAACCAGTTCGTATAACTGTTATACTTCACTTATGAGGTCACAAAAGCGAACCATATCTTACAGAGGTTAGCGACTCTGTATTCGATACCGATTATGATCTCAAGACCCAATCTTCAACCTACGGGTCGAAAACGGTAAACCGATCATCACATACGGTTAGAGGTACATTTATCTTGACATAGTTTACGCCAAACCATTCGCTGGATCTTGATTTTTGTAGGTGTGTCAGTCCCGATCATTGTCATAGAGTCGATACAATGCAATAATCTACCAGTCGATCAAACTAGCAGAGGTTAATGTGCTGATATAACAAATCATCTGTTTGTAGAGTTCCACTTTCCAATTGTCGATATCGTCCAATCATAATATAATATATTATCGATGACCACTTCCAACCAATATTCAACAAGCATTCTGAACTATACAAAACAACACCGCAATTTTCGTGTGCGATCAGCAATGTTACACACCACATAATAACAAAAGGACCATCTATATTCACGCCGACTAACTACTCAGAAGACATAACTAGCCAAAAATGAATTCTATCACATGGTCAGTTTAAGAATGAGCCAGTCGTCAGGTAACCCATGGGCATCTCTTCTGTATATGGTCTCAAAAGAATGGTAACAGCTGAGGTCCCAATAGCTATTATCAGTGACGTCACACCAAAAGCTACGTTCAGTATTTATCTGTTTTCTCACCTTCACGATCTAACGGCTGCTTCGAAAAGTGCGAACATGTTTTCAAAAGCTCAACTTAGTCGAGGCATACAACAAAACCCTTATGGCTACAAACTACGCTCCTAAAACAGCTGTCATTACTCTTTTCAAACTCCATGAATTTTTGGGTAAGCCTGCTGTGGCACTGGGCCCTAATCACACAATCCTCAAAACCGAACACGGAACAATTGGGAAAACAGATATTCAACGTTTAACACGGAGAAAAGCCCAACACTGGAGGAGGCGAGAAGAATGAATTGAAACGAATTGGAATCGATCAGACGGCATGGCTCAGCCTTGCAGGCGTGGTCTCTGTTGAATGTTACGTTATATCCTTTCTTTCGACCTCAACTTGCTTAATTTCCAATTTTCGATTTCTATTGCCAAACAACGAAGTAGACCATAATTCGACAAGCCTTTTGGTTTAAGAAGTGCTGCTTCGACTTTCAGAAAGTCTTTAAAAACCTATTCAGAGGTTTTGTATTAGTGTGATCATATGTTAGTGATTGGCCCATCGCACGTCCAGATGTGAGGTTCCATCTCCTGTGTATAGAATACTGCAAAAACTTTACTTTTCTGTAAATATTCGGAAATGCCAGATCAAGACTAACTCCCTCAAGTTTGTCGGGTATACCATAGTATTCTCACTCTGGAAAATAAAGTGTGGAGGGTTCTCGATTGCTCGATACCGATCATAGTCAAGTACCTGTGGTAAGTTTTTACCGAAGATTCATACTGAATAGAGCCTCTATCTTGTTGCCATTAACAGACGAGCTGCCAAAATGATCATCTAAGACGACAATGGAGGAAGTGTGTTCTTCACAGTTAAGGATAGCATGGCCAGTTCAACTATACTTGGAAACCCCAAAACAAAAGCACCCATTCTCATCGCCGTAGACTCATCCGAATTGGCGGTTGGAGGTGTCTTCCAACAATGGGTAAGCAACAATTTATAACCTTTGGTAAACTTCTCGAGATGGTCGAAAGGAAATAAATCGAGGTATGGTACTTTCGGAAATGAACTCATAGCCATGTATAGTGCTCTACGGCACTTTCAACACTTCATGGAAGGTCGAGAATTCACTGGACACATCAATCGCAAACCTCTTAAGTTCTCCTTAATCTCATTTTCAGACACGTTCTCTCGTCAAGAGTCTCGACAACTTGACTACATTTCGGATTTTACTCCAGATGCACAACACATTTTTGGGGAAATCAATGTGGTTGCAGACTCCCTGTCCTGAATAACTTGCTGTGATAATTATAAGTATTTGTAAAGTGTGATCGATAGACGAACCCACCAACCGAGGTGCAGATGCCAGTTTGAGATAGATTAAAGAACGAGGATGTGAGTGGCGTTTCAACCCACCTAGGGCAAGTCATCGAGGTGGTGTGTGGGAACGCATCATAAGATCAATTAGAAAAATCTTAAGAATGCTTTTATTCCAAAACGTGTTGACCGATGAAACTCTGCAAACCTTCTTAACTGAGGCGGAACGGATACTGAATGACAGACCTCTGGTTAAGATGACAGATGACCCTGGTACTCTAGAAGCTCTTACTCCGAACTACCACATTAACTCCTTTTGACTTAGTACGACTGTATCTCTTTATTAACCAGTCACAGTTTGATGTTCACTGTAAAACACTATTTGCTTGTTGACTCATTTTTCCTATTCTCTGGGTACTGTTCGGTATGTTATTTGTCTCTGTTTTTCCCTGTATTAGTAGACCATACTGTTTGTTTGTACACTAACGATGTTAATTTATGTTTTAGAAACAGATAAAGTTTATATAGCCAAATAGCTTGCTTGTTCTGACTTTGGCCAAACCAAGACCCTGTATTCGACTGTCTAGAGAATAGCTCAGAATTAAACCTGTAGGAAATTGCTTCCTACAGTATTCGAATTATTATGTGAACCAGGAATCCCTGAAAAAATCGCAATTTATGTCCGACAGAACTAGGTGAGCACAAACGAACGTATTATATTTGGAATTCAAAATCAGGCGCACATCGAGTACAAGAGAATCACTATTTCACGCAGACACCACATTTCTTTGAACAATCCGCTAGGGACCGACCTTTGTAAAGTCGCCCAGCTTTCAAAATGGGTAACGTAACCCATTACGAGTTATCTTCAACAACTTTGAAATCACAAATCGAAAATATGGTAAAATGTGTAAAAATTTCACTACGTGACACATCCACAGGTGGGGATCGTTCATTCCTTGATACGCTGCAACTATCAAGCTCATTGGAGGACGATTGCGCTGGTCTGGTATGAAAAACGAGTGAGAGACTGGGCACACTCCCGTTCAAGCTGACAGAAATCTAAGTCAAAAAGGCAAATGTTCTTTAAGCTATTCCATAACTTCAGACGCTTTCTTCAGTCATGTTTGTCTTGATCAGGTAGAATCTTCATCAGAATAAAATATCTACTCCTGTCAAGTAGTGCTGATGAATTCATACGAATAACGGCCGGCCACTCACCACTCACAATCCAATGGTTTGATTGAATGGTTTCACCCATAGTTGAAACCTTCACATTCAGCTGAAAATGTGTCACGATGGATTGGTACTCTTCCACCCTAGTTCCTTGAAATTCGGCCGTCGGTGAAAGCTGATTCTGGACGCGCTGTAAGCACACACATGAATTACACAACACTTTGACCTCCAGGAGATTTCGCAGATCCTTCATCTTCTCTAGTGCATGTGCATCAAAAAGTCTACACGAAACATCTCACAAAAGTGAACTTTTTGGAAAAACGTGCATCTACCCGAGCACCATCAACGGGTCTTAGTTCAGACCATCCTACTACTTAGTATTCGCGTTTTGTAGATAGTGCTGCGTCACGCCGACAGCTTAAGTTGACTCTGAACACTACACTGTCAATAATAACGGAACTGAAGTTAATGTTATTACCCAGAGGCCGAAAGGCTACGACAAGAGTTTCGTAATCACAACATAATCTCCGGTGGTTAATAAACACTACAAAGCTTCACTGGAGTCTGATAACCAGGACAAAACGGCACTGCCTGGAATAACCATTGGACGACTAATGTACATAGAATATTTCCTCGGAATATTCCCTTTTTACCTCGTTTTCCTTGAATAACGGCCAATTAGTTATATTTCCAATTTTTACTTGATCACACGTAACGCGTGTACGAAAAATTTGTGACTGTCTAATTTATAATGTCATCTACCTTTTGGGAATATAAACCCATCAAGTGCTGTCAAATTCACTAGCATGACTGGAATTTCCTTATTGTACATTATCAGAAGCCTGGGGCTATATCTCAACACAAAGAAGTTAGTGCAAGGAAATTACATAGTTTACACTAACTTATCACGAAGACATTGAACATTGCATTTCGGGATTGCGTTACTTAGCATATCCAGTTTATGTGAGATTAATCATTATTAAGGGATTGTTATTACGGCTCATATAGCCACTTCTTTGATGAACAAATGGTTACCCATGTTTTTGTCATCGGACATATCAAGCTCAACTGACGTACTTTTATTGTGTTGTGACAGATACATGTAATCAGCCAACTATTCAAATCTCCAACTTAACATGTTATCTTGTGTGTAATATGTAGATTGTAATTAATATAAGTTTTAGTGATCATAATGTCTAGCCCAATAAACAAATCTAAAGAGTCGAAGGATTTGATTGATTTTGATTGCGATTTTAACAGTCCTACTCATAAGTTTTCGGAGATACAGTTAATGTTCGACCCCTTAATTCCGACCTCTGTTACTTCAGATAAAAACAAAAGAAATGGCCATGTTTTTCTCAATCCTTATGCCGAGCCTTCGGATACCTCAAATGAATGCAAAACTGAACATTCGCCTTTCGATTTGATGTTGGATTATTCATCAGGTCCCATTGGATCTCATCTCGTGAAACCAGATGAATTACTTCTGCCTCACACAGTAATGGATGCTAATAATATTCTTAAAGATGAAAATTTCCATTTATCAAATAAAAAGCTTATTTTTCCATCGGTTATGGATGTGCAATACGATACCTGTTCAGCGAAGCCACAAGTGAGTATTTGCTGGCTTTATTTTGAGATAGGGAGCTTTCACATTGATCATAATTATATTCAAAATTTTGATTGTATGTGGTCACTTGCACTGTTTTGATATACTGTTCAAGAGACCTGACCAACACAGGTCAAATAATGATTTAATAATCTCTTCAGTAGATAGAGTCACTGTGAACTTCATGGGAACAAAGGTGTTCACCCTAATGACTTTTATATGTTTTCAGGAGGAGTAAATCACAAGTATAATGTTTTTGTGTAAGAGGTCGTTTAGCGAAGCGTTACCGTCGTCACTTATTTGAAGACTCGATATTTCTGTATGATGAATCCGTATATAAGGGTTTTTGACGCCTCTTAATTTACCTCTATTAACTATTTCACAAATATGAACTATATTCTGACTTTCAAGTTTTGATGACCATATAGTGTGTATTGAAATGTCATCCAACAGGTGCTTAATTATTGAAACAATCAATTGGTTATACTACTGTAGTTCATTTTTTAAATAAGAAAAGTGTTGCGTCGTAGTTCAAAGCTTTCAAGTTCTTTGTCTTTTGATTCTGTTGTTTTCTAAACACCATTTTCCTTTACGAATTACTTCATACCATATTTGTCCTCAGCCAACCAAACATACTCGGTGCACAAGCATCATATCAAGCAGTAATACCACATTAACACGGTGAGATAAAATAATCTATCCTCAGCATTCCACAAGTTGTCATCATGATATGATTTTCGATTTTTAAAGCTCGTGAACATTTGGTGTTTCAGTAAAGGGCGATCAAAGTCAAGGTATATGTTTCAAAACCTCCTTGATTTTTGATAACCGACTACTTAGCAGTTATTTAGGGTGATTTGGAAGATAACTCTTGGAAGCTCACTTAAATTTCTTTGTAAAACCAGTTCTAGATGGGCCACAACCTGTTAATAGTTGTATGCACTAGTTTTTGTTACATCGTCGTATTGTTTTAGGTCAATCCTATTTTTAAATCAGTTGTACGTCGTTTTATCTGTTTCAAATAAATCTGGTACTATGCGTACATTAACGGTCCTCATTCACTTTGCAACTGGTAGTTGGCGTATTGCATTTACTGTCACAACGAAGCTTCGAAAAATAAAAGAGGATAAAACAAGAGGAAGGAGAGGTAGATTTTATTCACTATTCACTCAGGTAAAGCACCTCTGTGCTTTTTTACTCTTTGAGCAATCCATTTTCGCGTAACGTATGAAGCTATAATTTATGCGTACGATATTCTTGAATTTGAACTGTTTGTTATCAATGTTTGTGTTTTTTTAGTGTATCTTATAAAAGTAAAATATAGATAATTATGAAGCCCTTGAATACACACTATCATTTAGTCAAAATCTAATTGATATATGCGCAAATAGCAAGTTTTCGAACCGTAAAATGTTTATGTCCGATCTATAAGATATAAAGTTTTGGAGTTTGAGGATATTATTATTCAATATTTTTACTATCTAATGTTCACCAACTTTTGAGAAGTTTTTGTGCATATGAATATCTAGCTAACAATTGTTTTCGAAGTTAAACTATTATTTCATCTTTGTGGCGGTTAGTGGATAAAAAACATTGCGAAAGATTATTAGTATCTGGGTACTGCTAAGGTTCCCAGGAAAGTCGGAGAAATTATTTAATAGCACTCTAGCAACTGGATTACTAGGCTCACACCTACTTACTTCGGTTTGGCCATCCAGAAAGTATCACTAAGTTCTATCAAAACATTGTAGCCGAAAGCTAAGTACCTAAAGCCGTTATTTCCCAATGAGTCGTATTAAACACTAAATGTTATCTGGGTCGGTTGTGCTACATGAGTTCAACTAGTGTTATCCGTATTGCACAGTGTTAGGTGAATTTATATAAACATGTTGATGTTAATATGGCATTTATAGTTAATTGTAACTTCTGGTTGCCTCCAAATGCCTTGGTACGACCGAGGGTAGCACGAGTTTACCCTCCCTCTCGAAGTGCTCTCACATGGCTACGCATATACAGCCACTGCCTTCTCGCAGCGGGGTTGTTGTTTACGAAATCGCGAGGACGAAAAGCGAATGGCTGTAGCTTTAACGTGGGTTGTTGGATATGGAGGATCCACGTAGGGGAGTTGAAAAACCCTGATTCCAAACCAATGGTGTACATGGGCCCTAGGATCCTGAGAGAACAAATGGCGTATGAACATATTTTTGATCACCGGCTACCATAGGATCGCATATTCTGAAGTTGCTCCACTGCCTTGTGCATTAAGCCTATAGGTCAAAGGCTCGGATAGGTGACCCCCCTAGGCAAACCACCTTCATCGGTTTGGGCATCGGGGCACTATGCCAGCCTTCACACAAATCAAATGACAACGTGTGGCGCATATCTATTTGGTGCCTCCTTGTACCGTTGTTTGTGTTTGAATAAATGAATAAATAGGATCACATTAATATTTGCAAACAGAAAACTTTATCAAGTGGAATCCCAGTCACACCATAATCTTCAAGGTAGATAGCTCGGTATTATTGTATTCTGTTTTGGAGATGACTAGTTTAAAAGTCACTTAAAATACCTCAACCTGGTCTATAAAAAATCACATAAGGGCCTTCTGCACTTGTCCACCAGCGCAGATTAGATGGGCATAAACCAACCAACATATCTAGACAATTTTTGCAATAAACATGAAAGATAAATTGATAGGAGTCTATCATACCAGAAGCTCTGGTTATTTTGTGTTTCAAGGTCAACTTTCAACGTTATGTAAGTTACTTGCTATTTCTGTTGTAATTTAAGAGGGTTTTCCTTCCTAATTTAGTTATCTTTCACTGTCTATTTATGTAGGTTAGCACCAGTTCAGAAATTGATTTGAAAGGAAATCAACATGATTTGTTTTCATTTTCTCAAACTGTTACTCCATGGTGCCTTCGCAAGAATGACAAAAATAATCCTCATTGTACAACGATTAATCAAGAAGGATTGTCTTCAACAACACAACTGACTCATTTTATTGCTAACAGTCAACCTACAGACGAATTGAAACTATTTGTTAGTTTTGTTCAAAGGTTAGTTTACTTCTGATCTGCATTAGTGATTTTTTGTTTCAGTTTAAGAATATGATAGATAACGACCGAGCATAGTGCTTGGTCGTGCAGTTGTTTCAAAACCATGGCATAATGCTTTTGTGGTTGTTGATTAATCAGTCGATGAATTTGTTAATCAGTATGACTTCTGATATGTATATAACTACTGTAGATAAATGGGTCCATCTGTACACATTTATGATACTTATAAGAGTAATTAACATTTAATATTATCAGGTAGGAATAACAACTTCAAAAAGATAGTCAATAAGATTTAAATTTGTAGATAACTTTGATATTCCAGGAAGGTGAAATGTTTACGTTAAACGATATTTTTCATGTAGTTTATTTTGGAAAAATATGCTGTTTGATGACCTGGTTTACTTTTTTATTCTCGTCTTCATGATTAATGATAACTGCATTGATTGCCAGTTAGTTAACAGAAATCTATCCGAAAAAATGTTTAATTTTTTAAATAGATTATAGATTCTTCCTAAAATAATTTCCAGTGAAAGCTGGTTTTTTCATCTCAATTGAGATGTGAAAATATAGTTTAATATACTTTGATTATGAAGCCGAATATTGGGCATCTTACTAATTCAGGCTCCCATTAGTGCACATTTATTGGCTACCTGATTATATAATTCACCAACTTCAGGTAAAGTGAGTCGGAAGTTTATTGCCGAGTTTAACTGCATGTTTCATCAAAAAGGGATATCAATAAAAAAGCGAACAAAAAAACAAAGTGAAACTCGAAGATTAGAGATAACCCTAAAACCAATGTTTCTAGCTGCTGTCAGCTTCTGACAGAAAATGTCTTCAAATCGTACTGAACTGGAAAATATGCTGCTGAATTAGCGAGACAGGATTTGTTTAATATCGTCCAGTAATTGTTCCTTTTTTCATTTCTGTTACATTACCTACAGAATTATTAATGTGGATTATCTCTTGACTTTCATTATTAATTTTGTCCGATTAATTTATCTACTCTACTGTTATCATGAATAATACCAGCCATGCAATACACTGTACTACTACCATTGTTATTTCAATTGGCTATAAAATTATTTATTATGTATAATTATTTCAGATAGTATGTTAATAGCTTTATGGTTTCATGTAAACTATTTGTCGAACTACTTATTTCCGAAAAGAAAACGCAATCGTTTTAAAATGTTTATAAAATATATAGAGGTACTGACAGTGTATGTTTTGAACGGGTAGACATAGTTTTTGATTTAAATACAGCCATTATTAATCATTATGAATGTGTTTATCATAGCGATAAATATTCTTTTACTTATAAATGATATCAGTTGAATTCTGTTCTTATTAGTTCCTGTGATTTATTTATTAAACAATAAACTGGTTAATTGCAGACTAATCAGCCTATTTTCTAAATCTTGACATCCCATTGTATTTGGTCATCTAGCAGGTGTGCAGAAACAACGTTTCGACAGGCGTATTGACATTAGGTTACAGCTGAGTGCCTAGACTACGTAGTAATCTCATACTACATAACACATGCCTAAATACTAGCACTCACGATTGGTTATATTTCTTGCTCAAATAATAACTATTACATTTTATAAACAGTAGAACGAAGTAGGATAAAGTGTAAATTATAGCGATGAGGCTGAATAAATCGCCACTCGAGCTTTGACTAGCTCATTTGGATGACTCAGTTTGAATAAAATTTCACTGTACAAAGTAGTTTTCGTCATAAACTGACGTATAGTATAGAAAGGTAAGAAAAACTCCGGATAGATGCTTTTTACCGGTTTTAAACTCTTTTGTCTACTTTTCCTGAAAAACACAGGTAGTTTTCCGCAATGAGACTTATTTCAGGCTATAACAATAATTATAAGATTTCACTACAATTTAATAGACCAAGACGTATATACAAGTAAACAGGTGAATATTGAGTAAGATGAAAAAAACGTTTAAGCAACACAGGAAACAACATGTTTTTCAGCAATGATTAAATTATCAGTCAATATATAATCATATGGCTGGTGTGTAAATATACTCGGTGTATATATTTCACGTGTTTTCCTGTTAATAGTGTACTAGTAAGTGTATCCTTATAATTTTTTAAAACCTTTATTTGTTAATAGATGGGTTAAACGTGAAATGGATTATTTTATCTAAAAAGGAAGATTTATGAGAGTCTGCACTTTTCATTTTATACACTTCATTTAAATTGAAATGTTCACATTTAAAAATAGATATTTTTATCAGTAATTTTATACTCAATTAAAAAATTGAATGATATGGGTATTCACTTACAGTACTTATCATCCAAGTTTTTGTGTATTACATATTAATGAACTTTGTTCTACATAATTGTATTATCTTGACTGACCAAAGTGTGAATTCAGCTTGTAAAAAACATCAACCAATTCAGTAAATTGTACCTTCGAAATACATGGAACCACTTTATAGTAATAATAGTCGTTTTGTAATCATTACTGACCAGATTCGAGATAGATTTCAAAAAGAGTTGATAAGAAGCTTATTGACTGTGCGTGGTACTTTTGATATGGAAGTCGGACGTGGTTATTGTGATAAAGGAACACTTGTTCCTTTATGTTCCACCATGCCAGACAACCTGGTTGGAGAGGTTTCAGACTATGAGAAGCGACCTCTATATTCTAGTAAGAATTTCCACTGGTTACTGTACAAACGTGTAACTACAGTAGTGTTTTCTTCAGACAACCAACGGCCGTAGAAATTCTGCCTTTTCACAATATGAGGATGAGTTAGATGATGCTGCCATCAAAACAGTACACCTCTTCTTGCCCCACAGATCCATGTCGCCGGTAGTAAGGTCTTAAAAGTACAGCATTAACATATCGAAAATCATTCACAAAAAGGCCGCGTGTGATCTAAGGTCTCACTCATATGTCAGAAACATACCTTAAGGAGAAGTATTTTTCCACGGTATCAGAAACCTACAAGTGGCAACAATCTCTGTACCTCTAATAGCACTCAAGATCAGCTTGGTTGGGTGTGACTTATAGAATTAAAAATGTTAAGAATCAGGTAGCAATGTAATAATGATATTGAATGATTATCGCTCTATATCACAAATTGATTGAGGCGGAAAACGTATGTCACTAGATTCCGGTTATGTTCCTTAATGATGTTGGGTTTGTTATGTGACGTTAAGGTTCAACATTTGGTCCCTTGTGGAATTTTGGATGTGCATTCCTAGGGAGTACCAAATTAGAGCAGTAATTTATCGTTTTCCACTATTTCTTTAACTATCCTCAGTTCGTCATGAAATTTACCCTCCAAATACACATGTTCTGATGTAAGTTTTAGCCATCCGGAATGTCATATATACATTTCAGGTGCCATATTGTATGTAACTAACTGGTTAAACAACCCTCCACAAAACTATTTCACTTAATAATGTATATTTACAGTCTACTTAGTTGTTTTCTGCTTATTGAAGTATTGTCTTTTTAGCTCAGTCTACTATTATTTTGACAACTGGTTAGTTTTATGACATAAAATGTATCGTGTGAAAACTTCGTAAATATATTTGAGTAGTGACCGTTTAAGTTCCAGAAATAATGAATTTAAACTGTTCTATTTCGTAAAACTATAGTTACATTAGTCGATTAAATAAGTAATTGATTTTGCATTAGTTTGACTAGATGTGACTATTCTTTGGAGAACCCTTAGGATACATTAAATACTTTGGAATCCGTCCTTTTTTATTTCACTCTAGACTTCACCTAACACTACTCAATACATTTCTTTGTCAAAAAATGCTCCATAAAAACGTATTCAGTACGATTGACTAAGACTCTCTGAACTCTGTCAGGATTCGTATTAAACGTAGACTGTTTTAGACAAAAGTTGTAAGCATCCGTATCAGTACTATGAGGTTCCTATCATTCTTGCTATGTAATTGAGTTGAGTAGGTTATCTGACTATGTCAAACTTTTTTAATTTTTTTCAGTCAATCATTTTTCAGATCGATAAACAATCAGACTAAATAGTTCGAACAAAGGGAAAGCATCGATAGATTTTGTTTACTCACATGAAAATTCTATGTGCGGTATATTTTATTTCAATTGTATATGAATAATAAAGAATAAATAGTAGGTCTATTGTATGTTTGGTTACACTAAGAATGTTTAAAATGTAGGTCTACTATCTTAGTGTTTATTATTTGAATTCAAATATTTCTTATCTGAGTTTTAAGCTCTTCTATCTTTACTACTACTTCTACTACTAATGTAGTTTTTCAGATTAGAACATCGATCACAATGGTTCAGTAATTAGGTCGATTACTATAGTAACCGTTTTTATGCAAGAATATCTTCCCAGTCCTTTTGTAAAACTAGGTAAACAAGTAATCACTTAATATGTTGTATGTTGTACAATAAGGGTTTCGTTGCAAAATGATATTGGGACTTTGTTTACCATATTGCTTGAAGTACTTTAAAGAAACATTTATAGGGGATAAGTTAATCATGTAGGCACTTGCTCATTCTCTATGAATCATCAGAGAAAATGTATTGAGATGGTGGAGTTTCGTTCCCTGAGTTGTATGGTTTGATCGTAAGGTTTTCATTATTCTGAACAATATCATGAGCACGAACTCAAGGTAGAAGTGAAGTGTTTGAGTTCCCTTATATATGATAGAAAGCTTGTGCTGTCGACCTTGATCTTGATTGGTTGTTTTTGACCTTTGACCAGTCGTTGTCTGCATATTTATTTTGATTGTCTCCTTCTTTGACTTGTTTCTTTATCCTACTTTTGTTTATAAAACTTCTGATTGACTGTTAAATTGGATCGATTTCGATTAGTTTATTGGTCAGTGATTGAGCTGAGTACCAAGCTTTGGTGTTTCTTGTATTCTCTCTATTCAAAATCTCAACATTTTCCCGGTTGAACATGTGTCCATAATTGTACACGTGCGTTGATATTAGCGGAACTACATCGTGGTATTCATGCAGACGAAGTTGCAGTGCTTCTTGCACAGTTTATTACGTGGACGACGTTTAGCTTTTCTTTTTTTGTCGTTTCATTCTTCAGTTTGCATAAGATTGGTTGAAGTGGTCAGAGTGATATTTCTAGTGATAATTCGAATAATATGATTGATTAATTTTAAATAATTTTAACCATGTAGTGTAACGAATTATGGTAAAGTTACAAAAACTATGAGATGAATGCAAGTTCATAAATTCGGGTGACCATGTAGTATGTTGTGCTTGCCACCCTTATATGACTTTCTTCTAATATACACATGGTACTGGGGTTTTAATCAAAAAGTAAACTTTATCAGATTATGCAAATGAAGTCAACTGTGACTAAGAATTTGTTTGTTACAAAGATATAAGAAAACTGAAGCACACCTTTATATTTTTTAAATTTCCAGTGTATTTTTACTTGCTTTCTGTCTATAATGGAGTTAATTTGGAGCTCAGACAGATACGTATGTTGGTGTTTTTTTGTTAGATTCGAAGCTTCTACTGTCATTCTAGACAGCATCATCAGCGTCTACTCCATGTAAAAGTAAGCCATTCGGTTATCCAACAAATATCAAATCAACCCATCCTGATGAATTCTAGTGATTGATTGTTTTTGTAAGTCTATTTCATCATTTGATCTTGAATTCCTGTTGACCATCTTCTCCCGTTGATTTCTGGTCATGTGAGGGATTGGCCTTTTCTGTGTGAGTATACAGCCTGGATTTATTGATTACTTATTGATTTAAAAACTGTACTTCTGAAAATTCTTCGGCGTTCTTAGGATTCCCTCGGTTCAGGAATTTTTCAACGGAATTCATGATAATTGTTGTCTTGGGTAGTGTATCGATTTTCTATACACCTTTTAGTAAGGTTGCTGGGGTATCTATTCTCATACAATAAAGGTATAAAATGGATTTCTACAATATTTTTGTGTAATGAGCGAGGTTTTGGTTTTTCAGGATACCCTCCGTACTCAACTTCTCCTGTGTGTTTTTAGGACGTTACTGTTATACTTCAATGTTTGATCTGTTCGGCTTAGCTTTCTGTTTCTTGCGTTCCTATCTTTGTCCTATCAATCAAAACATTCAAGGATGAAATTTCGTTTTCTGATTTTTCTTTTGTAAGTTTTCTGTTATCAAGGAAGTTACTAACCAACTTATACATACTTTCGAGTTCATCTCTGTTCAAGATAAGACTCAAGACTGCAGCTCTACCAATAATTAAATCAACGATTTGAATACTCTGTATACATCACATGTTTATTCATGAATGAGTGGTTGACCAGCATTATTTTTATCTTTTTATATAATTATACTCGTATAAAATTAATACTGTACTTTAATATACATCAGTTTCTGACTGTACAATATTTAGATATTTCTTTAAATTTTAGGTAAATAGTTCAAATTGAATAGTAGCAATTGTATTAGTTATGCGGATTAGTGAATTTTTTAAATTTAGTATTTTCATTAAGTTACATTAATTATTGATTTTTCGCTTAGCTACTAACATTCATTAAATCTATTGTTATTTTAATTTGTATTGAATTTAATATTTATGTTGTTTTTTCGTATAATCTAAGCGTGAATATTGTTAGAGAAAGTTTTCTAATGAATAACTAACTAGTTGTGCAATGAATATCGATTACTTTTTATTTCGTTCATAATAGTTTCCAAATTACTCAGTCAATATATTTTTTTACAGCCATGCAGTAGTAATTGTCAATAACATTCCATACTACAGTGTCTCCTGTAAAAAGCGTTTAATGTTTTCTCGTGGTAATTGTTTCTACAATTTTAACGATGAATTTTGGAATTTGCAAAGCATACTGTATACAGTATTCTTCATAAGACTGTGGGCCTATCCGTCAATAAATTATTGTTTATACCAATAAATAAAAAATTTGTTTATTAATTTCCACTGTTTAAGTAGGTTCATAACTCAGTATGTTTATGTCATTAAGGCGAAGTACTCTTCTAAAGTTCAATGAACAAAATTTTATAATCCTAGTAAATACCTTTGTAAGTGTTTTCTGGAATAGGTGTTCTATGAATCTGTGGTTTTATGTTTTGGACGATAAATTTTAGCGAAATAATTTTTAAATTCATATGTTTCACTTATTAATGCATAATATTATTCCATCAGATACAAAGTTCTAAAATATCAAATATTTGGTCATTGCACAATAAAATCTACCACATGATTAACACTGAAGTCTATTGCTAATTTTTGTTCGAGGTTATTGTTCGAGTAAATGAGATGTTTATATTGTGTTGCCTGAAATGCTTGGGATACATTTTATTTATTATTCAGCTACATGGTACTTATTATTAAATAGTCTTTGGTACTGACCATATTCTGCCTCTTTGACTTACCAATGTGATTACCAAGTTCTAGATGACTGGGTATCGTACTGTATTTGCAGTTCACTAACAGGTTGTTTTAGTTTTCTGTCGTGTTTTCATTTGTACCCATGAGAACGAAGTATTTTCAACCATAAATAAACTATACCATCTTAGATACATTCATTTTATCAATTGAAATTAATATCACTGATTTATTCAAGTTGTAATTATTTCTTTATATGATTTTGTTATACATTCTAATCCATCAATTCACTTAGCTCAGTGTAAAATATGTTGTCGATTTCAACAAACATTCTTGTATTGAGCTTGTCGTCTAAACTTTTCTTCTGAACCGTATTTATTATTAATAATTTTGTTTCTCTCTCGATAACATATTTTAATGTTCCATTTGGTCACTTGTCTATATTTCATTAAGGTCAATAGATTGTCTTTAGATATTATAGGTGAATCGGAGATTATTCATCAAAAATTGAAGAAAAACGCAAATCATTCATTATATATATATAATTGATCACTGAATGGTGACTAACGTTGTGTATGTTCATTTCTTCTTGGTGGTGGTCGGCTTCTATCGATTGAGTCACTTAAACTAGTGGGTACTTCGCAACTTGATCGATCGAGTCCGATCAACACTAAGGACTTGACATAATGATAAGAAATGCCGTTGATACGTATTTTGAATGAAACATTTTTTAATTCCTTGCTTTTCTTGGTTAAATGGGGAATGTGTATCTTTGTTCACTTAACTAAGATTGTCATCAAAACGTATTTTACTGGTTAATGGAATATACAAGTGCATCACTGAATGTTAGTGTCCGATCAACCACTGCTTACCTCGACGTCTAGTGTTTATTGGAAGAAAGCTAGAAATGGCCGAACCAAGACGTGGCATTAGTACATGAAGCCAGTGAGTCGTAGGCTGTCTCGCTGGTAGATGCAGACTACGTGGTCGGGGTCTGCGCTGTGACGATAGCCTGTGGTCGGAGGCGTTGATTCACATGACTCAAGATAGGCTGTAGGTAGCCGAAATGTATTCACTCTTTCGATCTTAAGTTCCTGCTATTTTACTGTCATTGCTAAGACAATTACTTCGACTCGTTTGCTATCCATTTTTTAAATGTCATTTCACTGTGATAATGTTATATAGCAACTTAGTCCAATGCATATTTGTACTAGGCTAGACTCTGTTTTCAACTAACTGAGTACCCAGTATTCTTACTAAATTTTGTTACACTTAAATTGCTTATCAGTAACAGGAAAGCAAGTGCATAATTTAAATATTACAGTATACTCATAAACATGTTGATTTTCTTGTTAGATTCTCAAACAAACTTTTAATTTTTTTCTTACAAAAGCAATTAGTGATTCGCAGTTTTCATAGTTATTTTATTTTTTTTAATGCCTTTTGTAGCCTGCGACGGCAAAAGTATAATAAGCCAAATACGTCTACATTGATCAGTGATCTTGATAGTGATTCTAAACAAAATGAAAACAATTCTGTACCTGTGTATTCACCTCCAGACACTTGGGCATATGATTGTGTCTATAGTGATTCTGTTACAAATGTAATGTTAAAAAATTCGCACACAAGCATTAATTTACTTTCGTTAACTTCTAGTTCAGCTGGATATCAACAGATGAATCCGTTATGGAAGACAGAAACTGCCGCTTCTAATGTATCATATATATATCCTAAATGTAAAGAATATTTCGGTTCTCAAAATAACACTCCTGCTCATTGGACTAATACACCACGTTGGTGTATTCCTCAATTAGAAGTACGTATTACAGCGCATTTAAATACTGGAAAAAAGTCATATCAAAGTTTCACTACAAATAATCCAAATTCAGTCAATTCAGAAACTACGAATAATTCTTCAGTCAATCCTCGGTTACGTTTAGTTTGTGATCGTAAGTAATTTCTGTTGACTGCTTTTTTTGTGTAATATCTCAATGAAAGGGATTAGACATAGTACATTCTCTATGATTGTACGTCTTTTGTATATATTGGACATATTGATTCATGAGTTATAGGAGGTTTGTTTCGTCGTCATCAATCATTTCTCAGTAGTACACCTCCCGACCTCAGGGTTTTCAAGCTTGTTCAACGCTACTGGTTTTCCGTCGTTGTCTAACTGCAGTCAGTACGTTATGTCAATTACAACAATTACACACACAGTTACTGGTATCACTTTATTTCTCTTACCTAAATTAACTATTAATGACAACTGGTTCATTTCGGTTATCGATATCTACATGCACCATGTATATGAATTTGAATTATAGGTTAAATTAGACTGATTTTAATGCACAACTAAACTAAATAGGTAATGTAATCTATTTTTCTGTTGCAAATATATGTACTCGGTTTCGAGTCAAACTTTTTACGTAACATTGTGATAATACTACCCAACTATAACTAAAGTACACGAATTGTGACTTCGAATTAGTAATTCAGTGGTTATAAATCGAGTGCTTAAACCACTAGACTATGATTCGTTATGAAAATTGTTACATCGTTTTAAGATTCATTCAGTTAATAAGTTAGTTAATCAGTCATTTATTAATGACATTGAACTTGACCAACATGTTAAATGTGTTAACCGTTTTTTTTTCATTCAAATTAAATGAATGAAGAATGCTGAGTTTTTATTTTATTTTTCGTTCGATAAATCAAACTAAATATCATCATTATTGATTTAATAATATTCGGACCAATTTAGTAACAATTAGTATTTACTATAAGCAAAGATGGATAGTGGCTAGCAGTGGAATCCAGGACGCGCGTTTCGTCCTGTTTGAGACTCGTCAGCTGGATGTACCTGCATCTCAGAGTTGACGTTCACTCTGGGACTCGAACTCAGTACCGTTCGCTTCAAACGCCGTCGCGTTGTCCACTTAGCTACTGAGTCCTGATAGCCACTTGCTTGTGCACTCTGAGGTGCAGGTACATACAGCCGACGAGTCCCAAACAGGACGAAACGTGCGTCCTGGATTCAACTGCTAGCCACTATCCATCTTTGCTTATAATGCTTGTAAATTAAGGCAATATCGAGGCATACGCACAGTAGGCACATATGCCAATAAGAGACTGATCAATTTCAGTCCTAAGACATCAATGGGAAGATTCAAGTGAAACAATATCAGGTGAATTAGTACTTACTGTTTATATTAATGATAATTAAAAGTTTTTTTCTGTTCTGTATTTTTTTAATACTTTTATTGAATTTTTTTAGCTACATCCACATTAGTCAATGAACTTATGTTGGAAGCACTTGCTAACGATTTAATTCCACAAGAAATTGTTCTGGATGTCAATCATTTTCAATTACGTCTTCAAGGAAGAGCTGAACTATTACGACCGTAAGATGCTTTTTCCTCTTTTACAAATTAATTTTGTTATGAAATCGAAGTAGTAATACCAGTAGTAATTCTTTTCGTCACCTCATGACAGTATTGACAAATACTTAAAGAAATTTGACGCGATGACCTAGAAGGTAGTTGATTGTAGTGTGAGTGACATAAGAAATTAACTTTTTTTTACCAATCTTTAATAACATTTAACCACACTTTGACAAGGAACATTAATTTTATGATATTGTAAATTTGTATTTATACAGTAAGTTATTGATTGGTTCGTGTTAAGTATTACTCAGTATAGTTTACATTAATTTAACTGCTGAACACTATGGATGAAAAGCAGATAAAAGTTAGTGTATTCTGACATTTATTTTGGGTGTCAAGTAAATTCTCGTTTAATATTTTCATGTCCTCACTCTTGTCGTGTGAATCGTGTATTCCAGTAGTTAGTACTTATTATCCACTGTCACAACAATTGTCAGCATTTTTGGGAGGATAAAGTAAATCCTCATTTGCATGTTTTCTTGTCCCTATTACCATCTTAGAAATTGTGATGGTTTCCAGTCTCAACTATCAGATATCCTTGCCGTTAAAACGACATACAAAGAAATATGATTGATAATTGTTAGCAAAAATATGAAACTACTTTTATTATTCTCATCTATAAATCAATATATTTTGGAAAGATAAACATTCTTTGAAACCTGTAGTTCAGTGAAATTTATTTGCCTTATGGTTTGCTCTCTAAAACTTACATATTAACTTGGATATTCTGTTTTTGAATACGTTTTTTCGTTCGGTAATTTATAATGGCTCTGTAATGTAAATTGATTTGCTGAAAATATTTTGTGATATTTTAACTAAATGTTCTGTTACAGATCTACTAAAAACAGAAATATATTCATTTTGTAACTTCTAGTTTCTACCTGCAAATGTCTTTTGTTTTACTAGTGTTTATTTAAATAATAATTAGTAGTTGTTGAACAAAGTGTACTAAATTAAAAACCTGCGGTTACGTAATTTAGACTTCTGAAGGACTGGATGGCTGTTTTGTTTTAGTCATACCAGTCTGTGAAGTAAAAAATCAAATTAAATGACCTCCACAAATCTCTTATCCTAGTGATAATCGTATTCTCAGTACTGGCTACTTTAAGTAAGTAATCCCGCGAATTCTAGTGAGAAACTGTAATTAGTGGAGTTCATCTATACCGGGTTTAAGTCATTACCCACCAATAATAACACTGGACGTTGGATGTGGCGCATATATATTGGCGCTCTCTTGTACCAATATTCATGTGTAGTATCATAAACTGACTAAATGTCTGATATTTTCATAGAGTAGATATTTCTTTCTAATTGGATGGTTGTAATAACAGTTGAACTATCTCTTATATTTTTATGTCCGGTTCTATCAAGTGATTTATCCACCAATCAAAATACGACTTGTACAATCCTAGCGCTGTGCCAAACCAATGGCTTTCGAGCGGTATGAGCAGCCTAGCGTCCTTATTGGTTATATTTCCGCCTAACCCGTCCACTTGAGTTCAGAACACCAATACCAGCTTCCAATATGTGAATCGAATAATTTATTTCAGACATACTGGGTTTATATATCAATCAAACAGACCGCAATGCACTATAAAATAGGAAATAACATTTGTACACAATAAAGCCAAAAAGTGGCTATGAACGTGGGAGGCAGTAATTAATAAACTGAACATAGCTTAAGAACCGTAAATCGTACAATAATGAATTGTAGGTCAAAGTAAAGCTTATAATAAGAGGAATATAAATATACATAATCTAATTGTTGAATAGTTATACCATAAGAATGTATAGATAATATTAGTCAATTAATATATCTCAGAAGTTACTTGTGGTTTAATCTTCGCTCGGATATAACACTATGAAATAAAGCTCATTCACTAAAAAGTTCGAAAATACAAGCCGTACATTTAAATGTAGTTTTATGGTGATCAGAAGATCAAAATGCCGGACAAACCTTTAATACTGATTAGGAAATTTGAGTTGAATATTCTCATAAAATGCAGGCGTACGTATTCGGTTCTGAGCTTCATTTCGGTTGCTTAAGGTTTGCCTAAATGGAAGCAAGTGTAACACTGATCGACCCAGTGACTTATTGATTAGAAACAGTGAAATAAGCAACAGTATTCTCTGTTCTATTCAGAGTTGAAATTACTTTATCCGTATATAACAGTGAATCAATGTTTCCTTCTAGGTAAGCAGAAAACTACTTGTATCAGGTACATTTTCATTAAGTTTCGCATATACAACTTAACTACACGTTCGTGTGAGATAGTTTTTGTTGTTGTTATCCTGATTGAGGTAGTTAGGTTTATGTATTACGTGTCACCAACCACCACCTACCTTGACGCGCTATGTCGGCTTATTTGGGTGTAGGTTGTAAAAATACTAAGGATGGCCACTCGTTCATGAAGTCATTGATAATTGATCTATGCCATGTTGGTAGATGCAGACTACCTGGTTGGGGTTCGCACGATAATCATGACCTGTCTTTTGAAATATTGTTTATAATATGACGCACAATCGGTCTCAACCAGATGGGACCTTTATACTGTTCAAAAATGTGTCAGCTTTTATACTGCCCTTATAAATAATCTATTTTTGTTGTATACGTCGATTTCGTTTGTTTTCAAGCTACAAACTTTGATATACTCTATATTACCAATTTTTCCTAAAAATCCGACGCGTAATAATATATAATCCTATATTTCATTTTACTTAACCTCAAACTGTTATTGTTTTTGCTTTCTGTTCACCCTTAATCTATTCTTTTCCTTTGTGATTATCCTTAGAGATGCTCGTTTATGTGATTGTTATCAGGTTCAGCTCTGTCATCGATTGGATCAACCACTGAGATTAATTTTAGAACCAAAAGACGTTGATCAACCATATATAGAAAAAGTACGTGTTTTTTTATAAAATATTATTGTCTACCAAACCCATTCATTTCACTTCAAATTTATTGTACAAGTTAAAACAAATAGCATCATAAGTATTTGTCCAATTTGTTCATTTAATAAGTAATAATGTTGAGTTTAATAATATGACGTGTGTTCATGAACTAATAGGTTATAAATTTACTGATTATTCCCACTATCTTCAAACAATTTTAATCAGATTAAACAGTAATATAAAATGTCTTTAGTATCTTTTAGTCGGTAGTATTCTCCTATCGAATGTCATATGGTTTTGTAATACGAACTTTAAATACTTCCATGGTAAACACAAACAAACACATGTTTGTAATATATATTGTTTTTCAGTTCTTGTTTTGATGGTTTACTCGAGATCTTTTTGTAATTTAAATGAGAGTTTTCAACAACTATTAACCAAGAAATCATTAGAAACTAGAAAATAACAGCCAGCTGTTATGCGAGGTTTGCCATAAATATTTTATTTCTTGGCTGAGTTCGCGATTGTAGGTCGGTTGTCTTCAGCTTCGCTTCACAAATTTACATTTAGGACATAATTTATCAAGTAAATTCAACCGTTAATAAATAAAAATATTATTTAAGAGAATATGAGTTTTAGAATACCAATCTTCTACCTTTTTAGTCATAACGTTACTTCTCGAATTGGTCCTTTTTTCAAACAGCTTATTATTCAGTCGTAAGTAACCTTGATGAACGCCAAACATAAATGATATGCAACTCAAGTATCTCACTGATGTTGGTGTACTTAGTCTATGGGCTATATTACCGTATGGTTTATGATAGGCACATTGTGTTCATAGTTTTGTCACATTAGATGGTGTAAATAACTTGCGGGCTATTGAGTTGTAAACCTCAGGTCAGATCGCATAAACAATCAACTGATATCAATCAATTTTATCAAATTAAATGACACTAAATATCTATTATTCAGTATTGAATGAGTGTATACCAACACTTTCGATTTTATTCATTTGTGTATGTTCATTATTTCCTACTTCCTGTCAACTAATAAATACTATTGAATTTTATGTATAAAATTATGTTTTTAAACAATCTATAAATATGTTTTGCTCATAGTAATTACCTGATTGTTCATTATTTAGTAATGGATAACCAATGAACATTCACAAAAATTATACTGTTTTCGTATAATTAGTAATAATCATTATTTTACATTAATTGCTATTCAAATATAGTATCTCTATTTTCATTGAAATCACGGATAGATCTAAGTCAGACAACCACTAAGAACCTGGAAGCCATGGACAGCTGTTTCGTCCTAGTATCGGACTCCTTATCAGTGTCTATCCATGTACCCACCCGTGGGGATCGAACCCAAGAGCCTTTTTTGCGCGCTAATGTTTTATCTTTAAACCAATGAGCCAGAATCCTATAGTATGTATGTTTATCTTCAATCGGTGCTCGATATTGGTTAACTTTTCAATTGTCTCCAGTTGAACTCTGCTGACTGCGGCTTCAGCCGTACCAGGTCTGAAGTACCCACTGAAGACAATGAAATATAGCCGAGCTATATAACGGATTAACTGAAGCTAGACGTGTATACCATTGAAACTTACCCCAATGGTTCAAAGGTTAATCGTTCCCGCGTGAAGATGAAGGTCCTGTGTACGATTTCCGGCTGAGGGGTCCTTGAAGTATATATATATGTTAAGATTTTGAAAAGGATCTTAAGATCATCATATACTACTTTTCACTCGATCTGGTTAACGTATTCGTTAGCTCGTAGTTGATGTAGGTCAATGAAGAGTAGAAGTAGGTATTCTTGAATTTTTTAATACCATTGTACTTATTTATTTATTCCTATATATTCTGAGAATTATACTTTAATCCTTTTTATACTAGACTTTCAGTACTAATGAACAATTCATTCCTCAGAATTTCTTCACAAATAATCGACCGACACCTACTGAGTAAGTATAAACAGGGGATTTTTCTATCTTTCACTTCTCAATAGTCATTTGACAATAGTCTTTTATTTAAACCCTGTCTGCAGGCTCAAGCTTTTTCCATGTTGACAATCAGAACTGTGAGCACGAACGAAGATTGGTACAGAATAATATGAATTCATTTTATTTCGTTAGGTTCTCAGCTGCTAACAACCCAAAATATTTAAAAGTCAACATTATTACAGATATTGACATACTTATACATACGAGAGTGATTAAAGATGAATATATGTATCATGATGTAGCGAAGATTTCAATAGAGTTAGTATGTTCGTAAAAACATTTGTTTCGGATAAATAGAGTTTGAGAGGGGAAGTTTCAGAACATTGAAATAGTGATTAGAACTTATGAAGTTGACAAACATTAGATGATTGTGTAATGAAGCAATTGAAAATAGATTAATGGTAATAAAGAAAGATGTGAATTGGAATCAGTCAGTTAGTAATTGAAGAAAAATAACAATGATGTAGTTTAAACTGCAGAAAATGTTGAAATAATGAATGATCTAATAAATAAGAAAAAAGGGGGTTAATGTTATCAGGTCAAAGAAAGATTTATTATTGTCTCTTTTTGGATACATAGATCTGGTTTTAGACGTTTGATTGCTATCGCTTTGGCAAATTTCAAAAGGTTGGAGTTTTATTATTTTTAATCACCTTGAAGGACTTCAGTGTATCGACTCCATATCCTGTATCAAGGACATGTCTTGCGATGGCTCTGCTGAATGCTTTTAATTCATTTGATCTTAAACGTTTCGGAATATATTCTTTGAATCGGGCGTAGGCTCTCTTTTCTGTTCTACCAATGTAACTGCTTTGGCAGATACATGTAAATTTGTTTACACAGTTGATGGTAACATGAAATGGATACTCATCGACCTTTGATTGTGTTAAAGAACATGATATTTTGGATAGGACAATCAGTTTAGCTGCAGGATAAGTTCTTGTCATTGCAGTTTTTAGTTCCATATTGATTGACCCTGTTACATCATCACCTTTGAATTTAAGTTGAATAAAACTGACTGATTCCATTTCATATCTTTATTACCATTAATCTATTTTCAGTTGCTTCATTACACAATCATCTAATGTTTGTCAACTTCATAAGTTCTAATCACTATTTCAATGTTCTGAAACTTCCCCTCTCAAACTCTATTTATCCGAAACAAATGTTTTTACGAACATACTAACTCTATTGAAATCTTCGCTACATCATGATACATATATTCATCTTTAATCACTCTCGTATGTATAAGTATGTCAATATCTGTAATAATGTTGACTTTTAAATATTTTGGGTTGTTAGCAGCTGAGAACCTAACGAAATAAAATGAATTCATATTATTCTGTACCAATCTTCGTTCTTGCTTTCTATAAGGTAATAAAGGAAACTATGCGTATGAAACATGAACTAGTTTAGTTCTTAATTCCTGGGCCATCACTTCAGTTTTGTGTGATACGAAGTTGATGTATTAATTGTCATATAATTCTTATTTATTCAGTTTAATAGTGGATTCAGATACATTGTCTAATAAATCTGAATTGATGGAAAGATTAGTTAACAGATATCAAACTTACTATGTTGTCTTATTATGTTTTCTATACATGCATATAATTAACATTCCATTCTTCTTGACTATACAATTCAACGAAGGAAGTTTAAGTTTGTCTATGAATAATCACAAAAAAATGTTGCTTGTTTAGGCTTCTATACAAAACCACACACCATAACTCAGACTTTTCGTAAATTCTTTATGTTGGATACCTAATAACATAGATATCTGTATACTTGAATAGATGTAGACCCGATGTACAATAGAAGATTTCTTTTCTAAACTTTAAGTCAGATTGGCTCTTCTATGGCTTCTATTAATTTATGACTGTTCAAACTATTATCGATGGGGTGGATGTATGAACAAATGCCCCTCGAAAATATTCATTTGAGTTCAAGGCCGTTGATGTCGCACTCATCATTATCATACATTAAGATAAAAAAAAATGAACTAACATTTAGTTGAAATTTGTTGTTTTTATTATCCCATTGTTATTGCTTGTTCATATAATCCCTTTGCTACAGTTGTTCTAACGTTTTTGGATGTTTTATTTTAATGTTTACTTTCAGAGAAGATATATTCATCAGTTATAGCGTATTTCAAAATGCGCTGGAAAAGTTTCGATCATGTATTGTGGAAAATTATGCACAAGTAATTCCACTTGTTTTTCAATCATGTTTTTTTTCTTTTCATAAACTACTTACAATTAATACTTTGTAGATTTTGCATTATTTACAGCAAGAACAATCACGTAGTTTAAAAGTACCATTCAGTGTGACGCTTCATTAATTTCTTATTATAATAATAGTAATTACAATAATAATAATAGTAATAATAATAATAATAATAATAATAATAATAATAATAATAATAATAATTCATACCAGCTTTTAATAATATTGTTATTATTGAAAAATGACTATATCGATACGAATTTTCTCTGTATTATAAACATTTTTAAAACAGTAATGATCTAATGATTTTATGACTACTGGAATATTTATGCTAATTACTAACTGATAACGTGCCTTTTTTATTTTAAAACTATCATGTAATATAAAATATCACGTTTTCTTAGATTAAATTCAATAGCCTTACCATATATATTTTTCGGATAAAGTAATCAGTTGATCACTTATATTAACAAATATTTTGAAGCTATTTGAAGAAGGATTCGAAACCTAATAGTCATATAATTCTTTAAAACTAGTAACAGAAATTTTCGCAATATCCAAAACTGTAGTTCACATAGTTTTTGGGTTTAAACTAAACTGTTGATTACTATGACTTGCTAGCAGTCTCAATTCATTTGATAAAGATTTACGACCTCACCAACCTATTTACTATCCTTACCTAGTGTTTTATGGCTAACCTATATATTGCCCATTCAGTCGATCAACGATGCTCTGGCAATGTTTAGAAAACACTTGTAATAGTAATAATATTGGCAAATCAACAACTTATTCAATTGTTTGTCTAAGTAATTTTATAGATTCCAATTTGATTTTTCTATCATAGAATATTTACAAATAAACCTTGTTACACAATTTCATTCATATTTATCACGAAAATAATCACCTTACATAGAACTTATCTCGAAATTCTCTTCGTAAAACATCTTAATTCTAAACGTTGAATATTCAAGTTTAAGTATGGTGTATAATGTGTGCATTATGCATCAGATTTTTTTGTTAAATGGCAGTTTGTGTATATAACACAGTTTATATACGTGATTCAATAACTTTGTTTTGTATAATGTTCAATTCACTTAATCAATTTTATCATTAGTTGCATTAGGTGCCATAATCAGATTGGAGTATTTAATGTTTTGAAATTATGATTGCTATGTTGCTAACAATGTCACTGTTATTTAATATAAGTTGTTTCATTGAGTTTTTACGTGAACAAAAAGGCCTTGTACAGTTCATTATTAGGTAAACAAGTGCTTCCTTTTTTATAGATTAAACATATTTGGTGTTGATAAGAACTAGTTGGCTTTTTTAAATAATTATTCAAAACAAATTTTGAAGCTTACATATGCGGTCAGTAGGACTTAATAAGTAGTTGCAATAATTGTAATCGGAATGGTGAAATTCCATACTTTATCACAAATCCAAAGATCATGTTCTGTTCAACCGTTTTTTCAACTCAATCACCTGATCATGTCTGATTGTGATAGCTTTTTTTGTGCAAGTTGACTTTGTTAATAGTGTTAACTCTGTTTAGTTCATAATGTAGCGTTGATTTTGTTTTACTAAGCTACACGTTATGAACATCTTAGAATGCTTATTTAACTTTTCAAATTAAATTTCCAAGTGAACTTTTCGACAAGTGTTTGCATATGAACCCCCTATGTACAACTAGAACTGGTTTTTGACTAACAGTTTAGATATTTTTTGGTAAATTTAGCAAAAAGCTAAGAATTATTGTTGGTCATTATCATATGGACTGATTTAAAGTTCTATTTGTACGGTGTTAACAGGGAATAGTGAATTTAGTGCTTATGTAAATGTAAATTTTGGGAGGGAAGTTGCGATTGTCCACAATCTCAAAGTAGGAAAATGTGAATGTGTCTTATTCTCTGACTGTTAGAAGTTATCCTATTGTTATTAATTTCTGTCACAAGTTTTAAAGGAAATACAAATAACCAATTGTGTCATTGAACAAAGATAAAGAGAATTCAGCGAAGTAAATCTTTTCGATGGAATCATTTTCATTCCTATTTATAATTGTATGGTAAATGTATAAATCTATGGAAAAATAGATAAGATTACACCATAAAGTGATTTGAGACTCTAAATATATTTGCTGGATTCTCTTTATTTCTATCAGGAAATATTAAAACGTTACTCTAAGCGAAAAATCATCTAAATTAGTGCTTTTTAGGGGATTTTCTCATTTCATGCTCATGTATTAATTATTTGCTACCATTTTCTTATTATTTACTAATTTCTAGGTGGATAGTGAATCATGGTTAAAAGATGTTCACTGTGCCAGTTCAAGTTTATGTCAGTCAGTAAAAGCTGTTTTAGCAGCTGTCTGTTATGGTATGGCTTTTTCTGATGTTATCAATGCATTAGGAAACATACAAGTGTGTATAATGGATATTGTATATGATATTGGTTTAAATAATAAAGTAACCGGTTTCAAGCGTCACGATAATAAAAATTTTAACAGCTTTCGTAGTGATAGTCAACAGGATACTACACAGGAAAATTGGTTTTCATCATCCTATAAGCGAAAACAGACTAGGGTGAGTACTATTCAAATTTTATTATGCAATCATAGAATATTAGATTTGTCATACAAAATATGCTGCTCGTATATTCATTTATTATTCATGTTGCCTTGGTGTATCCAACGCGAGCATATCAGAAATCTTTTTACATGTAATGGTAAGTAATTGTTCAAATCGATTAGTTCAGAGACGTTAATTATTAAGAAATACTTCTAATCATCAACTTATGTTGACCTAATTGTCACTGAATTTTATCCAGCCGTGTAAATTGATATAATCTTTGTTTTTTTTAATTGTCCGCAATACATTTTATCGGTTTATTTCAATGTGAAATCTTCAGACATCATGTATTACTACAAAGCATGTTACTGCTTGACGAATGAGTTGGAACACCGCATACTAGCAAATTATTTGAGTGGCTATTGGGTACATGTCCATTTTAATTTGTTGGATCTTCATTGAAGGATGATTCTTCAACTTATTAAAAATTTAAAAGTTACTCTTGTTTGATGCACTTAGCTTCTTTTAGTCGTAAATGTATGATGCACCCATGTGATTGTTGTTTTTGGACATAAATTTCCAAGTCAGTCAGTTAGTCATTAGTAACATGTGATTTAGCACATGTGTGCCCTGGTTCGATGTGTATACGCTTCATGTCAGCCGAGAGAAATAAGAAATCACCAAGATGAGCATATTATTTTAAATAATATCAAAAACGACGTAGATCTTAACATGAGAAATACAGTTCTAATCAAAGATCTGGCTTTGAGGAATGCAAATTTACAAATGATGTTTAACTAATGACTTAGAAGAACGAAGAGAATCAATGCAACTGCGCCACTGTGACAGAATTTCACTCTATGTAAGCGAAGAAAGTCATTTAATTTTCTTGTTGATATATTTTGATACAAGTCATCACAAAATGTGTAACGTAATAACATAATGACTTTCTAACGGAACCACTGAATAAGCAATGTTTCAAATTTTTTGTGACACAATTTATAAAGTATTTATACTCTAAAGTGGATGGATTCTGGTTGATGTCTGTGAGCCATTTATAGTTATTGCTTGAAAATTCAATGATGTAAACCATTGCATGAATGTATCTAATCATCGTCCGATTTTCAACGTTCTCTATGAGCTTACACATTTTAAATCCTCTTCACATGGTATTTGTTTTGCATTTGTTTTCTGTTTGTGTTCTATTTGATATCTGTTATGACTGTGAAAAATAATGCTGCGGATTAAGGGGTAGCGAATTGTTGATCGGACCAAAGACGCACAAACACGTAGAACGACCTAGGGTTCTGATTGGTCCTGCTTCCCTGTCCAGCCCAGCCAGTTGAGTCCAGAAGACAAGTCACAACCTCTGAGATATGAATCACTATATTTCAAACATACTTTGTTTATATACCAGTCAAGCATACCACAGCGTACCATAAAAATAGAAAACAACATTTTGTACAAGTGAACAGATATCGACCAATAGGAAATCCCATTTAAAGTCCAAGGACACCATTGGACTTAACATGATAATTATTGGTCTATTCCTGCGCATCCACAACAATATCCTTTTTCTTTTATCTCGTTTTTAAATTTCTATTTCGTGTTCCTGTTTGAATTTAGACGGCGATACACATGTCTAGGGTTCTGGATTATTGTTGTAGAGATCGAAAGGTCTAATGAACGAATTTAGTGTCTTGTATTGTTGGACAAGTACTTAAAAAAGAAATAATATTTTCACTTTCAAAATTTATAAGTTCTCTTATTGGATAGATTCTATTTTTTCCAAGAAATATCGAAAGCAACAACATATATTACATCAGTTTGAGTACTGGGAAATCTTGATTCCTCAATCAGTTCAAGAACCTTTACTGGAAGACTGTCTTATTCAGATTTGAAAAAAACTCTGTTACATTATACATATGTTTCTTATGTTTTATGGTAGATTTATGAAATTGCTTGTCTTGGTTTTTAAACTAATATTTCGCACCTACATTATTCACTATTATCATAGTTTTCATCGTTTTCTAATGTCTAATCATGTCATATATATATATATATTTTTGTGGCCCGGGTGATCTGACTCCAAGATCGTATAAATGGTTGTTATCACCTATTCTCGTTTATCATCGTCGACTTAGATCGCGTTATCCAATAACGGAATTAAATAAGTCGAATAACGAGAATTGATTTGTGAAATACATATATTTTGCATATGAAGTGAATGAAACAGAGCCTAGCAAAATGACGCACAGGGAGGATGGCTGGGAAGCCAACTCCATTTTAATTAAGCCTTACTCAGTATTTATAGGCAGACAAAATAAACTACAGACATGTGATGAATCATGGGACATGAAGTGTACACACATATACGCTCATGTGAAAACAGTCAAGGCTAATAAGCGAATAATTGACAAGGTCAAAATATGGCTCAAGTAAAATGAATAAAATAGGATGCCCGGAAGTTAGAATAAGGTATATGGGCTTGCCATAATAACTGACACTACAATATATATATATATATATATATATATATATATATATATATATATATATATATATATATATATATAGCTACTAGATCTTTCAAGGAACTTAATTGGGTCTGATTTCACGGAAAGTTGTATCAAGTCTGTTTCCTTTCACAACATTTTCTATTTTGTATGATAGTTGAGGTTTTCTTTGTATTCTCTGATCATAAGAGACTAAATAATTTAAGCAGTTCACAAAATCCTTAATACCAAATGGATATTTCAGTATTGAAACTAAATGTGTGAAACATTTTTACACAGATTTGAGTTGACATGACAAATTCACGAACTGATTATCATTAGTAACTATTACCTCCTTCCTTTTAGGTCAGGCGTTGGCGGAAATTGTCGAATTCAGTAGGTTTTATTTCACATATAGACCTTAGTTTGGCAAACAGTGAAAACCAAGGGACACTTATCATTTGTAGTTAGGAAAGCTTGAATAGTGCTCATACATAACTTTACCAGATATAGAATCGAAGACTCTCGTACATCACGAAAAGCATTTGACTTCTAAATCCTTGGGTTTTAATGTTTGTAGATTGTACTGTGAGGTCACATTCTAGGACAAAATAGCTGTCTATTAGTTCATTGGTTTTCGGCGATGGTCTAACTGGAGTCATTTTATAGTGTGAAAATACAAACTGTTCTCTTTTCCTGGTCATTAATCCTGACCAAATAGTATTGCTGAGACGTAAATGTGGTTATTGAACTGTGACTCTACATTAAGGTACACATTACGTAATGTTATATGAAAAGCCATAAAACTAGATTTATTTACTGTTCCAAATTTGAAGTATCTTTGTTTTAGATTGACGGTTATGTTGGAATTTTATTTAAATTTCTATATGGTTGATTGATCCGAATTTATCCCTTTCAATTTCTTCTTATTTCAGACTTCTCCAACACTTGTATCCAATCTTCAGTCCACCCTTAAAAACACAAGCAAAACACTAGTCAATTTAAAACGTGATATAAAGCCGCAATCAAGAAAGAAGCTACATAATTTGATTTTATCGTTGACTAAAAATCTTCTCTGTCAACTAAGTGCATTTTTTATATGGCGTCAAGTTAATATCTCAGTAAATCCTCAATTAATTGGGAATAGTAATTTTTTATCCAATGGTGTATCGAATGAATCATTTAGTTATCTGACTGATAAACAGCTTTATCATACCAAAAATGGACGCCCTAAAGCTATGCTCATAACGGATGATGTTGATGGCGAATTTTTCAATGATCGTCAACAGTGTAAGTTGTGTACATGTATGTGTGCATTTGAGAGTATTGAAGCTAGTATTCTGTTGTTTCTCTATAATTATGTCCCATAACAAATTTATTGAAATGACCTTGTTTTATAATAGATTCGATCTATTATGACTTAAACTAAAGTCACCGAATATCTTTTAGCAGGTTACTTACTTACGTCTCGTGGTGATGTATAAACAATCCACCAGCGTTCTACATCAAACTCTGTCCTGAACAATTCTCTCCAGTTGTTCCCAATTGCTATTCATCCTTTTCATGCCTGCTTCCGATTCTCGGTTCAGTGTATTCTTTGGTCTTCCTCTTTTCCGCTTCCCTTCAGGATTACAAGTTAGCGCTTGCCTCGTGATGCAGTTTGGTGATTTCCTCAATGTGTGTCGTATCCACTACTGCTACACTATTTGTCTTCATCTGCATTTGTTGGTGTGTATGGGATAGAAGGGCCGGGTCATCTGCGAAGTCCAAATCGTCTAGTCGCATCCAACCTGTCGATTGTATTCCGTGATTTCTCTCAGATGTCAAAGTCTTCATAATCCAGTGGACCACTAGAAGAAATAGAAAGGGGGAGAGTTTGCAGCCTTGTCTGACTCCAGTCCTCACTTGGAATGCATCTGTCAGTTTCACTCAACTGATTGTTCAGCGGTGATCCGTAGTGAGGCGATTTTGTCTGTTCACGACCGATTCTTACGGAATCCAGCTAGTTGATCTCGATGCTGGTCGTCTACTGAGTCTTTCATTTGTTATTCCTTACAAATCTTCATGTATAGAAATTGGTGTATGTTTGCAATTACCTCTGTATCTGACGTCACAGCTTCAGCTGGTATATTGTCAGGTCCTACTGCCTTTCCACGCTTGATTTGTCTGATAACTGGCCTTCCTGATTCCTTCGATCGTTGGTAGTGACAGATGTAGAGAAAGATATGTGTTCTGTTTTGGTGTCCGGTGGATTCAATGGAGCTGGTCTATTCCTCAAAGTACTCTACACATCTGTTCCTCTGTTCTTGAATTTCAGTGATTGTCTTGCATTCTTTCTCCTTGACCGGTCTTTCTAGTTTACTATATTTCTCTGTTAGTTTCTTCGTCATGTCGTGTAGTTGTTCCATATGTCCTTCTCTTGGAGCTTTTTCCGCTGTCGTTGCTAGCTCTTCGATGAAATTTCTGCTTGTCGGCTCTAATGCTCTTCTTCACTTGTTTGTTTGCTTCCATGTATTCAGCTTGTGCATTGACTTTATCTGTCCTTGTTATTCTTTTCTTCAACTTTGCCCAGAGTTTCGATGGAGATTCATGATGCTTCTTGTGGTCAAGCATCTCCTGACACGTTGAAGTTAGTGATGCTTTGACCTCTTTATAGTTGTCCACCATAATAGTTCTTCCTTCAGTAGATCCTGTAAGGCTTGGAACGTGTTGTTGAGAGTTATCTTGAAATGGGCTCTCAAATACCCCGGTATGGCCGAGAGTGGGATGGGCCCGCCCTCCCTCTCGAAATGCTCTCACATGGCCACGCTTATACAGCCTCTGCCAGGGAAGTCCTACTCACTGCCTTCTCGTGGCGGGGGTGTTGTTTACGAAAATGAGAGGACGAAAAGCGAATGTCCGGCGCTTTAGCTGGATCCCAAATCATTGGTGCACATGGGCTCCAGTATCCTACGGGAACAAATAGCGTATGGACCGATCGTTGGTCACCGGCTTCCATGGGACTGCATCTTCTCATGATGCTCCACTGCCTTGTGGATCAGACTTTTAGGCCAAAGGCTCGGGGTGTGGCCCCCTAAGAAAACCACCTGCTTCGGTTTAGGCACCCGGGCAGTATCACAGCCCACACACAAATATGATGAAATGTCGATATTTATGGAAAATACTTGTCTTGCTTCGATTAACAATCAAACGACCCACATTATTATTATTTTTTTACGTCATTTATTCACTCTTTTACTCCCACTCTGTGTATCCTTATTTTTCGACTGATACAGCAGCTTGCTTATGGTGGTTCTCGAGTCACTGCCCGGTTAAAAATTGTATGCTGCCACCAAATACGAATACTGAGGCAGTTTTTCTGAAACTACGTGCACCATTCAAACTAGCTGCCTTCAACGTTCGCACACTTATGCAGGTCGGACAACAGATAGGGCTGGCTATATCTTTGGAAAGTCTTAATATCGACGTTTGCCGTCTATCCGAGACCCATATTCAAGACTCTGGTGAAGTACTACAAATTCGCACTCCATCTGTCGCTCCGAAAAGCTTGTTTTACGTGCGCTTATCCGGGGACCCTGTGGCATCTTCGTCTGGTCTTGCTGGCGTTAGTGTCGCACTAAGCGCTCGAGCTGAGGCAGCACTAATCGATTGGATCCCCATTAACAGTCGGTTATGTGCTGTTAGATTAGAGAGTTCCATCAAAGTGAGAAGAAATCGGCGTGAGAAACGATGTCTTTTCGTCATCGCCTATGATCTGACAGATTGCAGCCCGGATGCAATCAAGGATGAATTTTACCTCCAGTTATCTGTTCTTCTCCAGAAAGTGCGTTCGACAGATATTGTAGTACTAGCCGGAGACTTGAATGCTCAGGTCGGGTGTCTAGGCACAGAAGAGAGTCGTTTAGGTGGTCGTTGGGGACTTGTTGGTCGCAGGACAGATAACGGGGACCGTCTACTGCAACTGTGCACAGACCACAACCAAGTTCCTGGCTAGCACTAACTTTCGGCACAGTCATCGTCGATGTGCCACCTGGCGTCCTCCATCTGCATCTCAAGGCTGGACTCAGATTGGTCACATCGCGATCAGCTCCTGCTGGCTTGGTTGTGTGCAAGACTGCCGCTTCTTTTAGTGTACCTATCTGTACTCTGACCATGCCTTGGTCTGCGTCAATCTTACCTTACTTTTCAGTGGACAACGAAGTGACCGCCACCAACGGATTGATGTTAGCAAGCTAGTTGCAAATTCTGTTGCAAGTAAGTATCGAACCGAGCTAGCTTCTAGGCTAGCTACCATTCCACCGAAAAGTATAGATGAGCATTGGTTGCAATTGCATGACGCCATGAAAATGGCGGGTACAGTAAGTTGTGGGTTCGCGAAACGTCCCGCTTTTAAGCACTGGGTTTCTTCGGGTTCCTTACAACTGATTGAGACCCGTCAGTCTACTACGGGTGACCGTGAGTTTGACCATAAACGAAGGATGTTACGTAAGGAAATTGGGCAAAGCTTGCGTAAGGATCGAGAATAGTGATGGTTGGAGCGTGCTAATGAGCTGGAAGCAACAGCTGCATCTGGTAACTATCGGAAGCTCTTCCAACTCATCCGAGCCACTGGCAGCAAGAAGTCTGGTATGAGCGAAGCAATCTGTGAGGATGACGGGATGCCAATCACTAACATCCATCGACGTCTTGGACGATGGGCAGAATTTTTCGAAGGGCAGTTCAACTGGCCTGCTGCTCCGGCAACATCGATCAGACTGTCCTGCCCTCCATGGCCGGTGACGACTGATCCACCAAATGAGGAGGAAGTCCGCAAGGAACTCCAACTCTTGAAGCGTTACAAATCACCTGGCCCAGATGACTTACCTCCGGCTCTTTTTAAAGATGGTGGTGACTTTTTGACTAAGGAATTGACGACGTTGTTTACAAAGGTTTGGGAACTAGAGAGTGTACCAACGTCATGGAATGAGTCGATAGTTGTCCCTATCTTTAAAAAGGGTTCACGTCGTTCTTGTAACAACTATCGGGGGATAAATCTACTTCCGATTGTGTCCAAGCTGTTGGCTCCCGTCACACTTCGTAGGTTGTTCAAAACCCGAGAAAGATTGACTCGCGAGGAGCAGGCTGGGTTTCGTTCTTGTCGAGGATGTATTGATCATATCTTCACCCTCCGCCAAATGTTAGAACACTGCCATACTTATCAAAGGCCAACAATCGTAGTGTTTCTTGACATCAGGGCTGCCTTCGATTTGTTGGACAGGACTGTTCTCTAAAATTGTCTTTATTGAAGAAGGATGTGCCTGAGAAGTTTATTAACATCTTAAAGGCTCTATATAAAAACACCTCAGGCAGAGTGAGGGCATACAACCACCTTTCTCAATTGTTCCATTCGAGTAGTGGAGTTAGGCAGGGTTGCCCCATCTCACCATTCCTCTTCAACTTTGCCATCGATGACATTCTGGGAACAGCTTCGATGGATGTAAGTAATGGTGGTGTGGATCTGTTGCCTGGAGAAAGACTTATCGACCTTGAGTATGCGGATGATATTTTCTTACTGTGCGATAATGCCCAAGACATGCGATCCGCACTTAATCAGTTGACAATCAGTGTCCGTAGGTATGGTATGTGCTTTGCACCTTCGAAGTGCGAAGTACTTCTACAAGACTGGCAGGATCGTAATCCTGTACTCACCTTGGATGTTGAGCAGATAGAAGTAGTCGAGATGTTCGTGTATCTGGGTAGCTGCATAAGTGCTGGTGGTGGCGTGAGTGAGGAAATCAATGCACGTATAGTGAAAGCCAGATCGGCTTATGCCAATGTGGGGCATCTTTGGCGCCTTCGTGATGTTAGTCTGGCTGTAAATGGTCGGATCTACAACGCGTCGGTGAGAGCAGTTCTGCTCTAGTCTTGTGAGAACTGACCTCTCCGAGTTGAGGATGTTTTTGGTCATCTTTGTCTCCGTAGGATTGCTGACATCCAGTGGCAACACCATATTAGTAATGGAGAAGATCGGCATCGTGTGTCCGGGCGCAGAGACGGCAATGCAATTGGTGTCACCATCTTGAAACAGCGACTTCGGTGGCTTGGACATGTTCTCCGAATGTCGTCCCAGAGAATTCCACGTCATGCATTATTTGCTGACTCTGGAACTGGTTGGAAAAAGCGGAGAGGTGGTCAATGTATGACATGGTGTCTTGGTATGGAAGAAAGCTGCAAGGGGCTGGCTTGTGTTGGTCCTTCACGACTCCCTTGCTTGGGGTCCTCGAGATGGTGCGACACAGTGGCTAGAGACATTATCAGATATGGCTCAGAATAGAAGCCAGTGGCGATCGTGCTGTAACCTTCTTTTACTTTCTTCATAAAAAAAGTGGTTGTATCTTCCTTAACTGAGATATTTCTTGTGATTGTACCTTTCCGTTTCCCCCATTATTATGATTATTATTACACTACCGTACACTAATCTATTCTTTATTGTTCCTCTTTGTACACTCCTCACCTTCTTTTTTTCTCTTCGAATTCTCATTGTTTTGCGTGGCGCATATATATTTGGTGCCCTCTTGTACCAATATTTATGTGTTCAAATAATAAATAAACAAAAATCTTGAAATGGTTGCGTTTTTCAGTATCTTGATGGAAGGCCGTGTTGAACATTTGTAATGTTGTTTGTCCAGTTATCCAGTGTTTCATTAGCTTCAGTTTCATCTTGGACACAACAAGGTGGTGATCTGAAGCTATGTCAACTCCTCTCCTGGTTCTCACACTTTCCACTGATCTTGTGAATATTTTATTGATTCAAATATGATCGATCTGGTTGTGTGTGGTGTGATTTGGATAGACCCATGTAGCTTTGTGCATGCGTTTATGTGGGAATATTGTGTTGCCTATAACCAATTTGTTGAATGCACATAGGTGTGCAAATCTGTCACCACGTGACAAAACTACCAATCAGAATATCGACTTGTATGACTTTGTCCCTGAGCCAACCAATAGGAAGACAACCAGCACTAGTATCCTTGATTCACTGCTAAGTCTTTAGTGGCCCTCGTTACGGTAGCTTATCTCGCTGCCTTACCTGTTGAGTCCAGAGCACAGTAATCAGCCTCCACTACGTGAATATTATACTTCAAGCATACTCAGGTTATATGCAGAAATGCACGACCATATCACACCATAAAATGAATAATAACAATTATACATGATCATTTCAAAATGTGGCTATGATTGAAGGAGTTTATGAATAATAAAACTGGCAACAAACGAAGAATAGCATTTCATGCAACTGTAGTCAATGGGTTAATCAAAAACTTATGATGAAAGGAATATAAGTATAAATGATCTAGGTACTTAATACATATATATATATATATATATATATATATATATATATATATATATCGATAGATAGATATGTATATATATATAAATATACTTTATTGGTGCCGTACGTTAGTTATTACTATATAAGTTATGTCCATGGAATATTAATATTTCGGTCTTGGTCTCAATCGCCATCACTAATTAATTTAATCTCCGAATTGCGTACTTTGTTTATTTGTGCTTCATTTGTGTCCTGATAATTTTTGTCTCTTACATCACTAAATTAATTGGTTTCTCAGCCAATATATTTTAATTGTGATGAGCCTTTATCACAGCAAGAAAGTTTCTTTGATCACTTTTTGTGAATAATCCATTCATGAGTTTGAAAAATAGATTGTGTTTAACTTGGATTTATTATGATTCAGTTTTCCTATATTTTGTGGAAATAAACAACCAGAAAGACGAGATTAAAAGAAGAATATTGTGCGCATTCAATGTAAATTACTTTGTTCAATTATCTGTTCATATACACAAGAAGAACTTTTTCCAAGCAATGGTTTCGCCTTTGTAATCGAGATAACAACTGTCTAAATTGCGGGTGTGCTATGCTTGAGGAAGTTACAATATCATCTTGGACCGGGAAACGGAACGAAATTCAGGAACACAACAACAGGACAAGTTGAGCTATCCCAATGCCTTCCAGCCTTACTAACTTGAGAGAGGGTATCAGATTCAGCCTGGAAAAATACATAGTTCGGAAGCACGAACGAAAAAACACACTTCATGCGTTGTATACAGAGTAATGCCCTTGGAAAGCATCACAAAATGGCTTACTAAAGGAGGAAACGAATCAATGACATTTCAGGTCCTTCCAGGTGGAAAATACAAATCGAAGGTAAAAGTGCGTTCTTTTGGCGCGGAAATCAGAAGTTCAAATTTCCATAATAGAACTATAAAATGGGACGTTTGCTAAGTAATTTTTGGAGCTGTAACATCCCCAACAAGTTGATTACACCAATTTAATTGGCGATTTATAATTCTTTGATTCCATCAAGGTTTCAACTACACCAAAACGCAGTATACGAATCGTTATCTGCAACTGGCTAGTGTGGGAGTAAATTTATGTATGTGTGTATGTTATTTTGACTGATTGAATTGCCTTATCGGGTGTTTTGAACTTCCCGTCAGTAAATTATGAACTATATTTCTCTTTCCATAGCTGAACAGAAAAAAGAGGTGAAAAGTTCCATCGATTGTTTAGATGCTATAGTCGTTGGGCTTATCGCTATACACAATCCTCCGCCACGTAAAACAGTTGGAGCCTATAATTCAAATGTAATCAGTAACAATACAACTGTTAATTCATCTTTATCTAGTTCATCATCTCCTAGTCAAACCAATCCTAATACATCGTCAACAAGGTAAATTATTTTCACACAAATTAATCAACTTGTTCAGTTCATATTGAGTAGGTTATCGTCAGAGTTTAACTGTTTCTACTTCTTTATAATTTAAACTTCTGTGCATAAAAATCGATTTTTCGTCATTGTGTTGACTTTATTAATCATGTGTTATTTATTTAATCGTTAAACTTTTTATGTGTACAAAGGTGCAGTAATTATTAACATACTGCCATATGAATCTAAGATAAATTGTTTTCTAAATATGAACTTTATTTTAAAAAGAAATGAACCCAATTTATTATGTGCATATTCTCTTACATTGTTTCGAGCTACACTCTAGATATATGTACTAGTTATAATATTCGGATCTCCAAACTAAAGTAGATTATGTTCATCCGTTATTCATTTGTTGAAATGTAGAAAGCTTTTTCAACTAGTTTCAGTAATGAGTATATTTGGCAGTTACGACAATGGTCACAAACAAGATTTAATCCTCTCAGACCTTTTAGATGACATGTTAATTCATTTAATAATTTACCTATCTTGAAGTAAATCTGACTGTTTAGTCACTTTTAAAGATACAGTTTCACGTATTGTACTTCAAATCTTCAAACATATGCTATCAGAGTGAAATTCGTTTTTGAAGTTCATATATTTAGCTTTGATAACAATGGTCATTAGCCTAAAAAGATAACAGTGCATCAACTCAATCCTATCATCACAATTGTTTTATTAAAGAGAATTTTAATATTTATCTTTTGAGATTGTTATTTTATTTGCTTGTTCATTTTAATGACGTTTAACCAATTCAATATTGGTTATAGTCTTTTGTTTTGATATTACTGAATTATATAATTAGGTAACATTATTAGGGCAAATTTACTGTTGGAAAAAAATTAGTAAGCTATCAAGATTATGTAAAATTATGTCGTCTAGTTTACAGTATTCATAAAGTTCCCTCTTAATCGAATATTTTCAGTTGACTAATGTGAATGTTTTGAACTGAAATTGCGTGATGTTAGTTTACGGTGCATTTTACGCGGAGTGTATAAAGATCTTTACACTTAAAGATTAGAATTTTTTCAGGTTAAAATCACTTTTATCAATAAAGAAATGATAAACTGAAAAAGCAATAGATGAAATTTTTATGAGAAGGTTGACAAGATTTTCTAATAATAATTGACTAACTGTATTCAGTTCAGCTATAAAAACTGAATACCTTTTATAGTTGATCAAATAGTCTGATATTTATTCACACTATCAATGAAAGTGACGGTGATCATTTCTCAGTTTGTCAATTAATTCCAGAGTTATACGACTTTCGAATTCACGTTAACGATAAGTTCGTTTCACGAAAAAAATTGCGTAAACCGATGATATTTCAACTTGTAGCTGGATAATGGTATCTATTTATTCCTAAATTGTCAAGCATAATATCTTAAGAGGGTTGAATTTAAGAAATATGTGTTCATTCTTTATGAAATAGTGATAAAGTTTCTGAATATGTTAATATAAATATTCATAGTATCACATCAAACTTGTAGTGCATACACTCCTGATAAATGTCGTTCAGATTACTTCGAAAGTACTATTGAGTTTTCTTGGTTTTTTGTTTTCTCATGACAAATTGATTGAAATCCAACATTCCTTTCTACCCCTATGAGTTTTCACGACGTGTCTTGGAACTAGTAATTTGTTCCAAATTTGTTTCATATGACATTCATTCCTCTAATTTTCATCTCATTAATTCCCTGTCGTTGTATTAATACGACTTATAGCTAGTTCTTTCGATGTATGCGTGCATAAGACTCTAATTTGTATGTGACTGACTCACTACATTTGTGTGTTTTTGGATTATTTTGTAAATTTTTATCAGTTCAATCAATAATAAGCAATGTCGTAACGATGCTGTGTACTTAACATCGATTCAACATAAATTTTTTACAGGTTGAAATCATGAGTCAGTTGAAGCTAGACCACCATTGAAAACCTGGAAGCACTGGACGGCCGTTTCGTCCTAGTATGGGATTCCCCAACTGACTCATGATTTCAACCTGTGAAATTTACTAAAATCTCCACAAAACTCATTCTGATAATAAATTTTTTAGCCAGATGTAATGACACGAGCACAATAAATCATCTGATGAATAATTTCGATACCATAGAATTTATTTGTCCGACTATAACTTTTATTAAAAGACACTTATTCAGATAGTTCTCTGTCTATTTGAAAGCTGATTGTTTATCTTTATTACAATAAAATCCTATTGTCTGTTTGAAAAGTCTCAGTTGTTGAATTTACTTTTCTAATATCCATATTTTCCAGAACAGATGGCTATTATTGTGTGCGTCTTGGTTTAGTGTACGCTGGACGACCACTAAGCAAGGTATATCCCAGTGCATTGACTACTCATCATGACAATATAAATGATAATCATTATAGATCATCACCTTATAAAAATCACGCGAAGGAAATTTCTTGGACTAGCAATCATTTATCACGTGACAGTCAAAATAAATACACTAGAGATTATTTCATCAGTGATCCTGGTCGTTATCAGACAATTCAGTCCGGTTTTCCTAAAGTTTTACAATTTGACCAGTGGTTTAAATTTCCAAGTATGTTTAACTTTTGAAGCATAATTCTATAACCGTTTTTTTAAGAAAACAAGATACGAGATCCAATCTTAAATTTCTTTGACACTACAAGTATTGTTTAGCATAGTGGAGAAATTTGAGACATTTGATTACTCTCCTTAAAACTTGCAGATTTCCAGTCAAACACAAGTGTATATCAATACTATCCATTTGATACTTGACGGGGGGTTAACTCACTTCCGTGAAATATGTTATTAGGTGTGGAATCTAGGTCAACGGAACAGTGACTTCCTAGGTTATAACACTCCATTTCTAACCAATAGATTGTACATGTAAATAATTCTCATTGATCACATTTCTCACTGGTCTAATGTACCAAACTGTTTCAATAAATATCATACTTTTTGTTTACCGAAGAATTGACCATGTGTAAAAACTTTTACGTAAAACTCTTTAAGTAAGAGAATGTATCGATCTCACATAATCATAAAATCTGTATAGAAAACAAAATAAGTGTATAGACTATAATTATAATTAACTATAATTATGATTATAATTATAACTAATAAGTGAGATACTGATAATCCAATTACGAAGTCAAGATGTCGATGGTGATATTATTTACGATATCTTTATGAACTATCTGTTTAACTGACCCTTACCTAACTGGTTTACTAAAATATACTGTCTTTGACCTTTCAAATATTACAATGACTCATTTAATCACGTTCACTTCACACCAAAGATTTTGCTCATTGTAAAATAAGCTGATCATTATATTAAATAATTTCAGTTTTTTAAAATATATAATTTGACAGTTATCAACTTTTAGAAGTTAGAAAGCATGTTTTTTCCAAGTTAACATATAGTATGGTATGGTAAGTTAAGAGTATGTAGCTGAAATCATGTCCTAAAAATGAAAATAAAAATCATTCAATTTACAATCGGATAACAAGTCAACCTGAATCATAATTGACTTTTTAACAATAATAATAATAATAATATTAATAATAATGATTCTATTCAGTATTATATATTTTGCGATTTAAAACTTCTCGGAAAATACTCAAGAACAAAAATATTAGAGGGAACGATCGTTTTTGATAACTTCTTTGTCAAGCTCTACAATTATAAACCCAAAATCTTTATTATTATTTGAATTGGTTCGTGTTTTAAACTGAAAATGACAACTTTCAGGTAAATTGAGTCTTAAATATTACAAATTACTGACAAAACAATATGATATTATTAGTAATGTCAAGAAAAGTTCATACATAAAAAGGTAAGAAAAATTATGTCTTAAGGTGCAAATAAATGGGTTGAAATCGTATGTAGAAAAATTAATACAAAATAAGAATCGTTGTATCATAGTTATGATGATAGCGATAATGATTGTAATTATTGTAGTAATGATATAAAGAATAATTATTAATTACAATATCATGTAAAAAATAGACAAGATGAATGTATAATTAAGAATAAGGTAAATGGATAGGACATACATTACGCAAATCGTCAAACTGCATCACGAGGCAAGCCCTAACTTGGAATGCTGAAGGGAAGCGAAAAAGAGGAAGGCCAAAGAACACATTGCGTCGGATAATAGAAGCAGATATGAAAACGATGAATTACAACTGGACGGAGCTAGAAAGGATTGCCCAGGACAGGGTTGGATGGAGAATGCTGGTGAGCGGCCTATGCTCCTTCACGAGGAGTAACAGGCGTAAGTAAGTAAGTAAGTAAATGTCTTAGAATGGAGCGAAATCAGAGCTATGAATGAATTTACCCTAATGTAAGCCAAGTTAACTCATTAATACTTTTGGATTTATAGCTGTAGAGTCTGATGAAAATGTTATTGAAAGCGATTGTTCACACTAATACTCTTTGTTGTAGTACGCTTAGTACAACATAAAATTCTTAGAGTGTAGTATCTCAAAAAACTCCCTTCACTCTTCGTAGACCTCACAAGATGCATATCTATTCATTAAAAAAAAATTAGGTAAATTTTTGTAAGAAAATAAGTATCTTTACACCACTAAATAATCTACATTTTTAAATGCATTGAATTTTGCTTTGATCAGCCTTTTAAACATGTTCGTCATATTGTTTTTATGCTAGATACAATATAATGGAACTTTTGTACTTTCATTTGCGTACATCGATTCTAGTGTGTTTGCGTCTTGTTATTTAAAGAATAATAATGCTAAGAACACATAGCCTCTTCAGATAACGTCAGAGGAAAAACTTTTGTATTAACACAACATGCGAAGGCTAGAAGAATTCTAAAACAATGCTTAAACCAAGATGAATAACGTGTGATATAGTTGTTATGACAGTCTCTAAAGTTAGAAAGTTATACAATTCCAACAGAGTGTTTAGTTATATTTCATCCATGATTTCGTTATTCTGCCTCAGTGTACACTGATTTGCTCAGTATTTATACATAGGTGATCTAGGCGAGATCTTTTTTTTAATTTAAATTAATGAAATCGATACTAGTGGTTTGTTTTCATGATCTAAATTCACTTTATACTTTCACTATTCAACAGCTATTTTACGGAAATTTTTACGTCTATCATTTTTAATGATTTTTTGTATCCAATAATATGTGTATTTCACCTGACTCATTAGTCCATTTATTTATAAAACTATGCGCATATATATATACCTCATAATCAGTTTAACTGTACCCTGTCTATAATGCAATGTGTTCATCATGCGAGTTTGTTTATTTGTTATTAATAGTCGTAACTGTATTTTCTTTGAAGAGTTCATATTAATAGTGAAATGTTATGCTATCTGTTCATAACTATTTCGCTAAAATTTCATTCAAATCTTTCTTGGTGTTTTCATTGTGATTTTTTATTCGTTCATCAAATACATTTACTAGTTTTGATATGTGTTTCAAGTTAAATTACAAAATTCAGTATTGACAATCGATTGAATGACATGACATGAACGATTTAGCTGTACATTATTGACTAGTAACGAACGTTAGTTTTATATCTGAAACATAAGTTCTGTTCTTCAGCTCTGAGATAATCACTCAGAAGATATTTTTCATCATGAAATGTTATCAGATTTTTAAAAAATATTAACAGCTAAATAGTACTTCTGTTTCGTCATAACCGGAAATTTTTCAATTAATAGTTCCTACTTGGAAACTTAAACGAAATCAATTTTTACACCGTTTTTTCATAAAGGTTCTGTAATTTCTAGACAACGTTGTCAGTATCCAAGAATCTACATATTGAAGTAGTCAATCAATGGAATAACTCAATCCCCAACAGATGTTATTGATAGTTAAAAATGTGATCCAGTATCTTCCTAACATTAGAATAGTATGAATCTTGGTTTTTTTTTTACAATTGTTTATATAATCAAACAGTGACTCATAATACGGTTTCGGCAATGTTTTCAAATGTAAGAATTCCAGTATTTGCTGAGTGATACACAATTACAGCTTAAATAATTGTTGTGTTAATGGTATTTATTGTAGACAGTTGTCTTTTTCTTTACTAGCAATTAAAATATTCTTAATTAAACCTAATTTATTTTTTATTAATAATCGGCGTCTAAATATTATTTGATTACGAACAAATATATATAATACATGAACAATATTATTTATTTTCACTACTTATGCAATTCTTTTTATTGTCCATTTGTATAGGTTTCACTATTAGTCAACTTCCACGAGAAGCAATGTTAGCTATTAGTTTATTTTGGTGTAAGAAATTGAATACGGACAATTCTGATGGTTAGTAGATATGATGAGATATAAACTAATAAATACGATTTACACATTTATATTTTATATTCACTTGAAATTTTTCTTCATACATTTGCGAAACTACGTATAATGGTTTGTGAAACCAATGGTTTAGGGATTATCATGAGATTTGGGAAATGTAAATAGAATTCCTGGTTATGTTATAGTTGCTGCAGTGTCACAAACTGGGAAGAAGCACAGCCCTTTTGATATGAATTCTACTTTATTGTCCCCACTTAATGGGGTAACTGATTGTTGGTGATGATCCAGAAAACCCGAAAAAGCCAAAAAAGGACTGAAAACACTGAGAAGCATCTTATCCAATCAGCATTTGCTAGAACTTTTGCCAGAAACGTCTAGAAAGTGAAAAGTCACATGTCGAGTTAATGATCACCAATACTTTTACTATGTTTAGTAGCGTTCAAGAAGTCTCTGGAAACCCAAGGCCATCTAAAATACTATAAAAACCCTAGACTTTCTGTACATAAATGAATCTTTGGAATAAAACGTTTCTTCCATATTTCGCGCCTTTTCTTTCGTGTTCAAATCGCTGAGTAGATTTAGCCTGGGGGTTTCTAGAAGAGCTCAGGAACCGTATCTAGCGTTCAAGCAGAAGACTTGCCACTGACTTATTCAGTCCACTAATGATGAGTCTTCTTGACGTTTCATAACATTAATTACTTTTACTTCATCTTGTTATGTTTATACAAATTGTCCTAACGTGATCCGCGCAATTAGAAAACGAGGAGTCGCTGATTTTCCATGATTATTTTCAATAAATACTGAAGCCTTATGTTTTTCTTACAAAATGACCAGATGAATGATAACATAATCGATCGTCTGTTTTATTTGGATGTCATATTATGTATGCTCAGTCAGTCAGTCAGCAACAACGTAGAACTTCGTAAGTAAGTACGTACATCAGTTCGAGTTGCCATACCACATTAGCACAGAGATATAATTGTTAATTCAAATCCCATAGTGGTAGAGGCAGTAAAAGTATGAACTGTAATCGGAGAGATTAGGGTTTGAAGATGGTATTCAAGGAGTATAATCCAGTGAAATAAATTTGGAAAGAGGAAAAAAGAGACACGAAGAATTCAGAAGATTATAACTTTGGAGAACACAAAGAGTGGATGCACCTGTGTCATTGCAAACGATTTCGAGCCATGTCATTCAAGGTCTCTAACCATCGGTTACTATCGTCTTGTGGGTCCCAACCAGGTAGTCTACACCTACGAACATGACTCAGTCCACTTGTCAGTGACTTCGTAGATTTGTGCCATGTTTTGGTCTGGCCACACCTAGCTTTCTTCCAACCTACTCCTACACCAGAAAACATCGCACTTTGGGGCAGTCGGTGGTTGGGCATACGTAACACGTGTCCCAGCCATCTCAACTGATGAACTTTCACCACTTCATCAATCGACTTGCCATCTTTACCTAGTACCTGTTTCCTAACAACTGCGCTACTTACTCGATGGTCCCGGGATATACGAGCAATGTTTCGAAGACATCTATGATCAAATACTAGTAACCTACGAATATCCTCTACTCTTACCGGCCATGTTTCACTGCCATAAAGTAGGACGGAACGGACTGCTGCGCAGTAAACCCGTCCTTTGGTTGATAGACGGATATCTCGCCTACGCCATAAATGACGCAAGTTGGCAAAAGCTAGTCGAGCCTTCTGTATCCGTGCAGAGATTTCGTCATACACCAGACCACAAGGGCTGATGAGACTTCCAAGATAAGTGAAGCGATCGACACGCTCAATTACTTCACTCCCTATCATTAGTTCGGGTGTCAATGCAACCCAATTCTGAAGCAACATTTTGCATTTCGAGGGAGAGAATCGCATCCCGAACATGCTTGCATTGTTGCTTAGAGTGGTCAGAAGACTCTGCATTTTGTCAGCGTCTTCACCAAATAAAACTGTCATCAGCATATTCTAAGTCAACAAGTGAACCTCCCGGTAAAAGTTCAACCCCTGGAAATTTAGATGAGGAGAGTGTTATCTCTAAAAGTACGTCGACCACAAAGTTGAACAAGAATGGGGAGAGTGGACAGCCCCGACGAACACCACTTGAGGTAATCAATTCTGATAACAGTTCGCCATAAGCTCTCACTCGACCAGTTGTGTTCGAGTAGAGAGCCTTTATAAGGTTAATGTACTTCTTTGGTACTCCTTTCAGTGACAAACACTGCCATAGAACCTCACGATCGACAGAGTCGAATGCTGCTTTAAGGTCGAGAAATACTACCATTGTGGGGCGTCTGAATGTGTGTCTGTGTTCTAGAACCTGACGTAGTGTGAATATGTGGTCTATTCAACCACGTCCAGGTCGAAAACCGGCCTGGTTTTCTCTAATCTGCTCTTCATGAGATTTGGTTAGGCGTCGAAGTATTATTAAAGCTAAAATTTTAGACACTATATTAGTCAAACTGATTCCTCTGTGATTGTCACAAGAGGACTTTTGTCCTTTCTTATAGACTGGCACAATCAGTGATTGAGACCAGTCAGATGGGATTACGTCCAGTTCCGAAATTCTACCTAAGACCTCAGTTAATCTCACTGTTAATACTGGACCGCTATCCTTAAAAATGTCCGCCCAGTACTGACCACACATTGATTAAATTCGGAAATGATATTCAAATTACAATTAACTGAATGAATGTTCACGGTGAGGTGTAAGAATTTCATTTTCGTGTTGCATGGTGTTGAGGATTAACTCTGTTTACCAGCGTCGTAATAGTAGGTGGAAATAACTTCAAATTGCTTTATATTTTCCGCTTGTGTTTCCTTAGTTAATGTCTGTCTATGACGAGTTAGTTTTCAGGCTGATCTGTTCCTCTCGATGCTCATGAATTATTCGGTTTCAGTGGTTTGCGCTCATAAAACGGTGTGTGTAACTTTTTCTCCTATATTATAATTGTTTTAATGAAATATATTAGTGATGACTGGTAGTAGTCTGTAAATCACATGCTAAACACTTGTTTAGTCTATACAAATACCCACAGAGTTCTAAATTATCTTAAAGCTATAATATGTATCTGATGTTTTGGTCAAGTGTTATGAATTCAAAATTTAGCATAATTCTTTAGTAAACGATTTCCTAGGATTTTGTTAAAGGCTCTGTAACAATTAGGCAAAAAGTATCTCTTGTGCAACTGACATATACCTTTACAGGTTGATATGTTTTCCAGTTGAATGTTATTATTATATAGAAAACTAATTAAACTCTATTACAGTTGACGGGACGTTAATCGGTTGGGTGAATTTACCTTTATTCGATATAAATGGTCGATTAAAACAAAACACAATGATTGTTGGTCTTTGGCCACCATCTGAATTAATGCATGAATATCGGCCTACATGGTCCCAATCAAATAGTTCACCAGGATGTCCAGTTGTACAGGTAAGATGCTTTCAGTGTTGTTTTATTTTTACTTAGTCCATCAATTCTTATTTCATTAACTCAGGAATCTGTGCTTGAGTAGCATATTACATGCAAGCGACTTAGACTGTTTACCTTGAAGTTGTATTTTAATGATCTACTATCAAATTGTAAATAATGTATATAATTGTATTTCTTTACTTATTTATTATTATTTGATTGTAGCTTTGTTTTCCTGAATATCAATATGAAATTGAATTCCCTGTCATTATCCAATCAGAAAGTGAATTGGAGAACTCTAATGAAATGTAAGTCTTGTTCATGTATATCTTGATCAATCTATTTTCACGTTAGTGGATTACATTTATCCCTATAACTCTACTGACTAAATGAAGATAAATGATATTCATTTAGTAAAATTAATCCCTATAAAAGTGTACTTTCTTTCAATATATAACAAAAATCATCCTATTATATTCGAAATTTATATTTTATATTCGTCCATGTATTATAGACTTCTTTCTTATTATACTTTTGAGACTATTACTTTACAACTGTAAAATCTCGCTTTCAACTATTTACATAATATAAATTTAAATACTTTTGGATAAATATGTAGATATTTTCTTTTCTTTTAATTCATTCTTACTGTTATAGATCTCTAATATTTGTCAAATATTATTGTCTGAGTTCAGAACAGTGTTTAACCAGCTCATGTTAGTCTATTTCAATAGATAGATGCTTCGAAAAAGGACACTTTTTGTGTAAATTACAACATTCAGCATACTTTTCTTTATAGTCTGAATGATATGTTGATGTAATTTTGGATAATTGTTTCGTCATAGTCTGTAACTTATCAGTATTGCTTATTCAGTATATCACATCAAAGCTGAACGGTAGTAACTTAGGTTTTGTGTTAAGTGTAACATCTTGGAATCCAGTGGTTCACAATGTTATCAATATCATTTAAACTGTAATTTGTACGTCTTGTATCTAGTTTTTTTTGTGTTGCGTATTGTTTTAAAAATCGCGTCCAAGTCATGTGCCAAAATGCTATATGGTGATATTAATTTCATTCGTGTTTTGAAGTGTTTTCCTACATGTTTATAAAACAAATAACGTTAAAATGTGAAATACACATGTTATAATTCTTATGGAATCATATATGAAGTAGTTTTTTTTCTTTTTTTCATTTCGCAGACAAGTTTCATCGTTTCATTCACTTTGTTCCAATGCAAAACAGTCGATAAATGAAGCTAAATCTGCTATTTTCATGCAAATATTAAATCCAGAATTATCATTCAAATCTGTTGATGGATGTTTAATGGCTTATAGTGCAGCATCATCATCAGTGCATCTATCTAAACAACAAGAACGTGTCCCAATCCCTGTCTTACATTTAGCCGTACTCAATTCTATGAATTCATCTTTTAATCAGTACAACGGAAATGTGATTGGGAATATTAGTTGTAACAGTAGTATCAGCGGTAGTGGTAGTGGATCAAGTGGCCATCTTGGCAACAACTCTAATTCCAGTAATAATAATAATAATAATCATAATAATAATAACACTAATATTTGTAATAGTAGTAATAATAGTATTAGTAATAATTTAACAACATGTAATATCAATTCAGTCGCTTGTTATCTACCATGTCCACCTGCAATCGCTATTGAAGTTTTATGGAATTTACGTTATTCTATATGTGATGTACCTGATGCTATGATTGCATTTGTTATCAGTTGTCTAGTTAGTTGGCCACAAGCAACAAGACAGAATTTAAAAAGTTATACAGATAAATGGTGTTGGCAAAAATTACTGAAAGAAATATACAGGTGATTGGAGTTTGGTTTATTGCTTTTTATGTATATGAACTTTTCAGTGTTTAATTTACTGAATGTTAGGGTGTACAAAACTTATCGTAATGGTTAATATGTAACAATAAGGTTTGTACTGCCTAGTAGTCATGTGAACCATACTTTTTCTAGAAATCGACTATTAGTATATATTCGATTCTTGGTCGATACATTACCACTCACTTTGATATGGATATATCAAACCTGGGAATCTTTGATTCAATTTATGCTTGTCAGTGGACTATGTTTTGTTGATTATTTACCTGTGCATTTTTACTTTCGTTGAGGTGTTCTCAAAAGCAGTTGTTTATTTTCGCTTTGGATAATCGGTATTAAAAAGTTCTCAGATTGGTAATCTGAATTTGTTGTAACTTAATAATTATCGACTACGAACTCGACGTTAAGCCAATTTTCTTTTGTGTCTAGCGGTTTAAGAAGGTACTTATCTGGTCATCTTAGAGCTAGTTACATACCGTTCAAAATATGATTCGTAATATAGCGGTCGGACTACCAAAACCTTCAATCGATAAATTATCATATTCTACAACTAAATATTGAATTTTTCTCTCATAATGAACAGTTAATTAATGAAATGTGGCTAGTTTTTCTTCCGATTAGCGTGCAATTTAGTCTAAATTTATTGGATTGTCAACCTGCCTATACGACTGCGAGGGTCTGAATTATTTTTAGTGCTTGTAGTCACAATTTTATTTCTTATCATTATCAACTTGTAACTCTGTTTTTCTCCTCATGAGAAAACCTTATGCATAAAGAGAACCATCAAAAATTGGAAAAAAAATGTATATCGCCATACAATTCCAATAAATACCCCATAGGTAACTTAGTTCCCACCATATTAACCCACCTGACTTGATATCTCTCTTCGTAAGTCGAAATACTTTTTTATCAGTTAAACGTTGATTATGGCTGATTGATACAAACTTGACTATAATGTCCATATTCGTTTCAATCATCCAGCAATACATTTAATTTTTGTATAACTTACGTACATAACTGCTTATGCTTCATCAATCTTTACTTCTTCAATCTTTGCCTCATTTAAGTCCATAAGGACTGGGAGATTAGATCTAACAATTAGTGATCCGACCACCTTGTTTAAATTTTTTTGAATACCTTAGTAAGTCGAACCACCTTCTTGACTCGTGTACTGAATCGCTATTTGAAGGTATTCATTTCATTTCCTTGCTACGCAACGACGAATTATAATTCATTGCAAAACTGATATTTTATTCAAGTTAATATTGTTTTACTTCTTCAGTCTTTTAGCAGTCACTCCAGTACCTTATCCTGGTCTCATTCTACGTCTACTTTCATCGGATGTTGCAGATCAAGGTATACGTCATTGGGCTACTAGAGCATTGTCATTACTGTCATCAGATAATCTTCTTTTATATCTTCCTCAAATAATTGAGGTACTTTTAATTGTGCTCTATTTTATTGTACTATGTGTCTTTGCGATAACGTTCATCTTTATTTTATTTACAAATACCTAACTCCTATGGTCATTTATTTGTTTGATAGTCTATGTTGTATGCTAGAATGCTCTGTATCAAATTCAAAATTGGTAATAACCAGTACACTTTTTACGTTTTTTTATTCGAAAGGTAATCATTCTTTATGAAAATTACAAAACTTACCATGGTGAATATTGATATTCATTTAGAGTACAACTTATTTCTGCAATAGCTAGCTTGTCAGTTGATATAAATTGCAATAGTTGGATGTACTTACGATGTAGATGAGTGCAACCGGTGTCACCTATACCGATCGACTAACTTCAGTGTGGTCAAGTTAAACAGCCCTAGGGATACATTTTCACTGGATGTCGAATTCGTCTAGACTCACGATAAATTATTGTTTAACGTTTCATATGTAGTGACTAATTAATCAGATTATCTAGTATTCTTCCCCCAATATTAATAAGAAATCCGAATGGTATCACACATGGAAATCTAGGAATATCCTCTTTTTCTTATTTAAAGTTAAGAATATTCTAGTTGAATCGACAGAAATCAACCGTTCATTTAACTAAGGATGTTTGTATGGTTTACAATATATAGTTATAGTAATTTACTATTCAATTGTTCAATAACGAAATGTAGGGTTGGGTTGTAACAAAAAAGTTTTTATTTATCACTATAATACCTAACTATCATTGTGTTCCAATGAATGTTTGTTTTGCCATGAGGGTTTTAGGGTTTGTTAAATTTTAATATTTTTCATCATGTCTTGATCTTAATTAATCAACCTTTGAAAATCAAGAAGCACTAGATAACGTTCTCTTCTTAGTCTGGGACTCAACATGACGCATCAATGACTTCCCCCCTGTATCAATCCTAGGACATTCAGTTCGCATAGTGAACACTTAACTTTCAAATCTTTAAACTGACAATGATTTTCATGTTTAATTTTTATTAATTTTTGATGATTCTCAAACATCTTTCAGTCTTTTTAGTTTGCATCTGCCTCATAACCGACACGATTGTACTTTAATGATCACGACTTCTCTACAGAACTCTAGAATTAGCTTTTGAAGTTCGCTAACTATGTGCACATGATTCTCAACTGTTGTCGAGATAAGATCGGTCAGTGATGTAACTTACAAAAACGTTTGTTTATTCTCACCTTTTGTACGTTCGTCTTATTACCAAACTTTAGGATTGTGGAAGTCAAATCAATTAAGTTATTTGTCAAAGTTACGTGTTCCTAAGCTTTCACGTTTCCTTATAATAGAAAGTGCTATCAGAGACTATGAAAAGGTGCACTGAATGTCATGGCGATCAAAATAAGAACGACTGTCAAGGTAAAAACATCGATATATCAGTTCAGTTAGTCTGTCTGACTGATTAAGTCTTTGGTTTGTTTGAAATCACTCCATAAGTATGATTATATTTATTTTTTCTTTAGGTGCTAAAGATTGAATAAGAGGTTTTTCAGATGTGTTTGCACTAAATTTGTGTACTTTGGTCTAAATTGTTAAAGTACAAATTCCAATACCTGAAATTGGCACTATGTACCGTTACTAGTATGTTATATGCTTCTGTTTAACTCTTCACCTTGTGCTGTTAAAATTCCTGGTCTTGAGCGCTGTTTAAGACTCTGAAGTTTATAATATGATTCCTTTGTCATTGATTCGTTCTTTTTAAACATTTTATTGAACTTCAGCCTAGTTATGTGTCGCTTTCATCGATCTTGCTGGGTGTATAGTGTATTTCAGATCCAAACAAATTATGATTACAATTATCCTTTATAAAATACTTCTGTACTTTACATTTCATGCTATTTATCCACTACATAGACTGTACTTATTAGTTTTTCAATGGAAGTTATGATTTTTATGTATTAAATTGTGGCCTTATTTTTGTCCATGTTTGATTTTTGATGTCTTCTTCAAAATAATTTCCGTATCCTTCCAATTTGTTTTCCTTTTAGGCTGTAAATCATGATTTATACCTTGATTATTCTGGTTTAGTAAGTTTACTCTTATATAGAGCTGCATTTTCAATGCGATTCGCCAATTCTTTATATTGGTAAGTTATGAATAATAAGAACTAATAAATTATTACGTTATGTAAACTGTATGGTGGATATGTTGTACACTGATGACAAATGGACGAACCCCATCGATACAGTTACAACGAATCGTGATTAAGCCAAGTATAAGGCTTAAATTGTGAATTCTTTAGATTGTCCAAGAATTTAAGTTATCGGTTTTACCGAACGAATTCATTAAATGATAGGATCAAGTTACAAGAATAAAGTACACAACGAAAGTGTATTCTTTTTAAGTATCTCTGAATATAAACTAGATTCAGTCAACAGTTATATCGCAAATTTTCTCATAATAACTAAACATTGTCAATACTAGTTAAAATACTCATGTTGAATCGGTTAACTAACTGGTCATCTACAATTCCTTGAAATGTTTTAAAATCAGAGAAAACTTGGAAGTACTTTGACTAATTAACATTTTCGTAAAAATTCTAAAAAAAACCTTTAGGAAGTGATTGATTTTAGTTTTGAAATTTGACAGTACAGTTACCAAATATCTCAGTGACTTTAATATCATTGATTGAAGCCACTAGAAAACCAGGATCTTCTAAAACCATACATATACATCTAGTTTCTGTACATCAACTAACTTGTCAACTACAACTTTTGTCATATCTTCTATTTTCTGTTTTCCGTCGGATTTTCGAGAATCAAGAAAGGTTTAGTCTAGGAAGGGGCTAATGTGTCCGTTCCTAACGCTCGCGGTGCATGTGACGGAATAAGCAGAAGCAGTCATACTTTTCATATTTATATCTATAAGTCATAGTAAATGCTCTAAGTGTTTCAATATTTCTTTACCTATCCATATTTTGCCTTATGTATTATGAAATATTTGAGCAATAATAATAATGTATATACTGAAAAGTATTCACAAATTTTTTGCCGGTTTTATAGCCACAGTCTTAACGATATAACAAAACCTTTATGCATTGAGTAGGTGTTAAATACGGTATTTATCACGCCATTATTCAGATAATATATCAAAATATGTACAGTCACTTAATTAGTATTGATTAAGAGGTCGTACAGCGTTGGCTATTCATATGAATCAGTAGATAGCATTTGTAGGCGGACAATTAATTAAGGCTTTTCATTTGCATTAATTATACCCGGAATTCGGATACAGTCATTAAGATGCTTGTATCTTGATGAAGTACTATTATACTATTTCTACCATTAGATCAGGTTCGTCTCTAATGAATTGGTGATTCAGAATGACGGAGGCGAAACGAAGAATATCAACAAGATCAGTTTATGTGTTTATCTATTTATGTAACATGAAGGGGTTCACCTATTCATTATTATTTTTATGTTGTTGTTTTGTAAGTCGGTTAAAACTTATTTTTGAGAATTTTTTTCATCTTCACGACGGAATGCTAGTTATTTGTTGGTCTTATTTACACTGATATGGAATTCCTTTTAATGTTTAAGGTATCTTTATCCAATGCTACATCATCCTCAACCATTATCTGAATGGAAATTACAACGTTTTCGTTTTATTCAAGCCGCTCTATATTGGAATGCAAATTCTAGACTACATGCTATGTGGAAACGTCAAGAGGAAATGATTAATCATTTGTCTGTAACTGGTAAATATTTATACTTGACCGTTTTTCGTAATTTCACTCCTCGGATTGTTTTTATTACATATTATCTATGATCAAATATTCTGTTATTTTCTTATCCTAGTTTGATGATGATAATCGTAATAAGAAGTAGACTTCCAGCAATTCATCGCTTCGTATTATCTTCACATTTTCCTGACCAATAAATGAAGATATGATTTAAACAAATATTATGTTATTGTAGGCTTCTACATTGTAGTGTATATTGTCATGTCTTTATTTTTTGATAATATGATACGCATCACTGAAAATAGTATGTGATTTCAACAGTATGTTTATTTAAATAACTGTCGATCATGATCAATTAATCTTCATGCCTTCCAGGACTGAATTAGTGATCAAAATCGTTGATTGACATTGAAGGTGTAGTTTCTCATGTACTCTAATTGCTAGAAATGTTATTGAACACTTATTGTAATATTTATATTCGGTGTAAACGCGGTATTATGAAGATTACATAAATATATAGATATATGTAGAAAGATATGTAAGTGTGGGAGTTAATCTATTAAGTTTTCCGATAAAACAAAAATCCTAGAGTTTACGAGGAAAATAGTTGAACTTACATATTTCTTAAATTAATTTTCGATTATTTTCCTGTCATTAACACTACTAATGAAGCACATGTTTTGATAACTGTAATGGGTTAAATTTTTGTCCAATCGACCAACTCTTATTCTACTCCTCATACAGCTCTTCTAGGGCTACTGTCGGTCACAAACCCGGGTAAAGGTGGAGAGTTGGGCGTGGAGTCTGCAACCCCATCTTATAGAAAATAATCTTCCTAAAATACACTAACTAGAATAAACAACTTAAATCATATAAAATCTGTCTTCAACTCTGTCCTCAGAGTTGAAGGAAGTATTATGATGTCTCATGATGAAAGCTGAGATTCTTCGAGAGTCACGAGGCTGATGCCCCTTCTGACAACCAGAGCAACAATTAATATAGGTATATGGAATGTCCGGGCAATGCGGGAGACCTGGAGGACCAGCCAAATATATGGAAATGAGCAGATACAACTTGGCACTACTGGAAATCAGCGAAGTTCATTGTAGTCTAAGATAGACAGAAAAGGACAGATTCAAGAGAGATGCTGCTGTATTCTTGTCACGGAGAAGAAAATGCTCCACACACTCATGGATTTGATCTAATGCTGTCCAAAGAAGCAAGTAAAGCACTTATGGGATGGAAATCTCATGGATCTAGGGCCATCAAACATCATTCAATAGAAAGACGGTAGGATCTAAACTTTGAATCTTCAAAAAAAAGAAGGGGAGGTGCTATGATGGAAAGAAAAGTCGAAATTCGATTGACTTACTAATTATGAGTTTTGTTCAACATTACTTCCGTTCTGATTCAATGTGATGATCATTCAGTGTAGTATTTGTTTTCTTTTTCTCGTATGATATTTTATTCCGTATAATATACGATATTCTTGTATTCAATTGACATGAACTATGCTCTATATGTGATTTGTTATAACTGAGTATTTTTATAAATATGATTTCATCCTAATTTTTAATCAAAGTGTGTGTACGATCAATATATAAATAAGTGTATTTTCGACTAGGGTCGTCGTCGTGTTTTGGGGTTAATAAATCTTCACATAGACCAGTCTTTGTGTTCTTACTTTCGCGTTGTGGGAGTTGCAGAGGTCCCTTGTTTCGAGTATAAATGATAAGAGTTTCCGACACAACAATCAGCGACAACCAGATATAACAAGTGGCATTCAACTGACAAGTTTTAACAATTGGCGACGGGGATGGGATAAAAAAATTCTGAACCCTCAATTTTTAAATGAGCGGATCAAGGTCAGGCTGTAATTGGACAAAATTCAGTGTAATTATTTCGAGCAATCAGCGTACAGGGTTCTCGCCGGTGTCCTTGAACGACATTGATTGTTAATTTGAAGACTGAGGGTTCAGAATTTTTTATCCCATGGAAAAAGCTGCAAGAAAAGGAAATATGGAACAACTATATGACACGACGAAGAAACTAACAGCCTATGGTCCTCCGTGAGGTGTAATCGGCCTAAGTGAGTATTCTATGAAACTATTAGTTGGTTAATTGAATTTCGTGTAGAATGTTTGCTGTTTTATTAAGAATTCATTCATTTTTATGTTTTTTCTTAATGCTTTCCCCTGTGTATCTTTGGCAACCAGCAACAAAAGTTAAACAGGCTCGACCAAACGCTTCAGTTCGTGAAAATATTCTTTATACGCATCTAAAACGGTTTATGTCTGAACTTTCTAAAAGCTACCATGATATATCGTCATCATCATCGCACATTGAAACAACAGATAAAAACATTTCAATGTTACGATCCAATTCTTGGGCAGATGATCAGTTGATCAGTGATTTCTCCAAACTAGATTCAGAATGGTCAAGAAACAAATCTGCCGATAATATTCTAAGTGAATATCAACTATCTCAATATGATCTTGGTTTGAGAATGCCATATAACCCTGGACTAATAACTCATAGACTTGACATTACTGTAAGTCATAATGTTCAATCCTTATTTTATATCCTTTGTTCGGCAGATTTATTATAAACATAATATTATGATATTTCAGCGTTAGATGATGATATATTTCATTTTTCTTTCCGACTGTTTCATAACTTTCGTCAATGTTCCAGTTAGTTCCATAGAAATCTTTTATAAAATCGATTAGCTGTAAACAATTGGCATATGCTTGTTATTTCATGATTATTGATTTGGCATAGTCATCATGTATAACCAGCCGGCTGTTTAGATCTAACATTTCAATGTTATCATGACAGCCCTTAGTTTTAGTTATCTGTACGCTGTGGAGTAGTTTTAAACCAGGACATCTCAAAGGTTCAATGTATTTTTTTGGTTTTCAATGTTTCTTCGATTAGTTTTAGACTATGTTACATGTCACCCTTAAAATGTATAAGCTTTACCTCTTAAAAAACTACATTCATATGCATATGCATATGTGTAAATGCGAAATAGCCAGATATAGTTTTGATTCATTTTCAATGTTTTCTTTTCTTTTTAAGGCTTGTTCTTACTTTACATCATTCACTTGTCCATTGAGACTTGTATTTCATGCATTGGATGCCGGTACTGAACCATTTATGGTTATGTTTAAGGTAAAAAAAATCTCCCCGATACTTATTATGGTTTTTTACAGTTACTTATTTGATTAATTATTCATAGGATATACCTATGTATATATAATTTTATAGTTTTATAAATTTTAGAATTATCACACACAATTTTTTCGTATTTAAATTCTAACGAAACCTGACTTACATCTTAAATTTAATATAGACCATTAAGCATGTATATATTGTTGTCGTTTGCTCATATCTGTGTCGTAGGCCCAAGGATATCACATTAGACTGAAAACATATGGTCTCGTTACTATGTATGATGATCCAAAATCCTCTCTCATACATTATACTTATTTACAACACTTTAGCATTCTAAACTCATAACTCCGCCATGTTGATACATATCCAATTTTACTGTTATGTGTAAACTTGACGATTATTTCGATTTTAAAATATCGTAGTCTGTAAGCAGCTGATATGAAATCAGATGAATTCACGTTATTCTACCTAGTTCTTTGTTCTTGCTCTATTCAAGATAATATGTCTTATTAGATGTCAATACTACTTTAATAAAAGCTAAGTCTATCTACTGAACGTTTCCGAAAATCTGTTGTGTCTAGTCGTTGCAAAAAATTTTATGAATAATATTAACTATTTTTTCGATAAACATTCAGCAATAAATCATGGTTGTTTTGTGAATTTGTATCTTTTAACTACTTGTGAGTAGTTAAATTTAAGGTTTTAGAAATTTTGAATGAACTGAACATTTCATTTTATGCTTCTACTTTCTGAAGTTGCCATTGGTTCGTTGTGTTAAGGTTCATTTTTGTAAATGTACGCGCAATATCTCATGCATATTAGATTACTTCATAGTTTTGTATAAAATTTTTATCCATATCTAGCACACTAGCCTTACGAAATCTGGAAAATATCATGTCGTATGTAAACATCAGAAGGCTATGAGTCAAATGGGTTTCCAAATAATTTTTGTCGATTGTAATGAGATTCCTTTGATTCAACGTTATTGTTATCCACTGATAGTGTCAATAAATATAGAATATGTTTTATTTTTAACTGATCATCACTGAGTTAGAAGCAACTTCATACTATCTAGGCCTTGGTTGCAATACAGTTTTATCAGGCAGATTGAAGTATTGAGTGTTACATTTTATGATAAAAGATAGGAGAGATACATATCTAATCTAGTATAATCAAATTGACTAGAATTTGTGCATGTATTCATTCACCAGTTATTTCAATATCAAATAAACAAAACTAGTGGATGCTCTTTTATTATTCCTTGTATCATGATGTTTAGCTATTGTGGTTTATTTGTCAATCTATCTACGTTATTATTTTTATTGATATTTTTAATGGATCAATGTTAAATCACCATTGAAAACCTAGAAGCACTGGACGGCCGTTCCATCCTAGTATGGAACTCCTCAGCATTACGCGTGGTGATCTAACATTGATTGATTCATGTTCTCACTCAAAACTCAACAATCTTCACAAGCCTATATTGATAGTTATTTTTAAATTTATTTATTATCTCCAATTTTTTCATTGTGTTCTCGTTAAGGTTGGCGATGATTTACGCCTGGATAGTTTAATCTGTCAGCTGACTTTTCTTATGGATCGAATATGGTTAGATGCTGGATTAGATTTACGCATGATTCATTTTCGTATTCTGCCAACCGAAGAACAAAAAGGTTTTATTGAATTGGTAGGTGCGAAAACAGTAGATTTTGTCTCCTGTCTGATTTTTTTATTTTGACATGCTACATAAAGTTCATTGACAGACAGTAACAACGTAGAACTTCGCACGTACGTTCGTACATCAATTCGAGTTGCCATACCACATTAGCACATAGATATAATTGTTGATTCAAATCCCATAGTGGTAGAGGTAGTAAAAGTATGAACTGTAATCGGAGAGATTATTATTTATTTATTTATTTGAACACATAAATATTGGTACAAGAGAGCGCCAATATATATGCGCCACACAAAACAATGGGAATTCGAAGAGAAAAAAAAAAACTAAGGAACGCAAAAGAAAAAGAGAGTAATGACGAAGAGGTACAATCAGAAGAAATCTTTCAGGTAAAGGAGACACAACCACTTTTTATGAAGAAAGTAAAAGAAGGTTACAGCAGGATCGCCACTGGCTTATATTCTGAGCCATATCTGATAACGTCTCTAGCCACTGTGTAGCACCATCTCTCGGACCCCAACCAGGGGGTCGTGAAGGACCAACACAAGCTAGTCCTTTGCAGCTTTCTTTCATGCCACGACACCATGTCATGCACTGACCACCTCTCCGCTTCTTCCAACCAGTCCCAGAGTCGGCAAATAATGCACGACGTGGAATTCTCTGGGACGACATTCGGAGAACATGTCCAAGCCACCGAAGTCGGTGTTTCAAGATGGTGACACCAATTGAGTTATCATCTCTGTGCCCGAACACACGATGCCGAACCTCTGCATTACTGACATGGTGTTGCCACTGAATGTCAGCAATCCTTCGGAGACAGCGATGATCGAACACAGAGAGTCGTCTAACGTCCTCAACTCGGAGAGGCCAGGTTTCACAAGCATAGAGCAAAACTGCTCTCACCGACGCGTTGTAGATCCGGCCTTTTACAGCCAGACTAACATCACGAAGGCGCCAAAGGTGGCCCAGATTGGCATAAGCCGCTCTGGCTTTCACTATTCGTGCATTGATCTCATCACTCACACCCCCACCAGCACTTATGCAGCTACCCAGATACACGAACTTCTCAACTACGTCTATCTGCTCACCGTCCAGGGTGAGTACAGGATTAGAATCCTGCCAGTCTTGTAGAAGTACTTTGCACTTCGAAGGTGCAAAGCACATACCATACCTACGGACATTGATTGCCAACTGATTAAGTGCGGATTGCATGCCTTGGGCATTATCGCACAGTAAGACAATATCGTCCGCATACTCAAGGTCGAGAAGTCTTTCTCCAGGCAACAGATCCACACCACCATTACTTACATTCATCAGAGCTGTTTCCAGAATGTCATCGATGGCAAAGTTGAAGAGGAATGGTGAGATTGGGCAACCCTGCCTAACCCCACTGCTCGAATGGAACAATGGAGAGAGGTGGTTGTATGCCCTCACTCTGCCTGAGGTGTTTTTATACAGGGCTTTTAGGATGTTAATAAACTTCTCAGGCACACCCTTCTTCAATAGACAATCCCAGAGAACAGTCCTATCCAACGAATCGAAGGCAGCCCTGATGTCAAGAAACACTACGATTGTTGGCCTTTGAAAAGTATGGCGGTGTTCTAACATTTGGCGGAGGGTGAAGATATGATCAATACATCCTCGACCAGAACGAAACCCAGCCTGCTCCTCGCGAGTCAATCTTTCTCGGGTTTTGAACAACCTACGAAGAATGACGGAAGCCAATAGCTTGGACGCAATCGGAAGTAAACTTATCCCCCGATAGTTGTTACAAGAACGACGTGAACCCTTTTTAAAGATAGGGACAACTATCGACTCATTCCATGACGTTGGTACACTCTCTAGTTCCCAAACCTTTGTAAACAACGTCGTCAATTCCTTAGTCAAAAAGTCACCACCATCTTTAAAAAGAGCCGGAGGTAAGTCATCTGGGCCAGGTGATTTGTAACGCTTCAAGAGTTGGAGTTCCTTGCGGACTTCCTCCTCATTTGGTGGATCAGTCGTCACCGGCCATGGAGGGCAGGACAGTCTGACCGATGTTGCCGGAGCAGCAGGCCAGTTGAACTGCCCTTCGAAAAATTCTGCCCATCGTCCAAGACGTCGATGGATGTTAGTGATTGGCATCCCATCATCCTCGCAGATTGTTTCACTCACACCAGACTTCTTGCTGCCAGTGGCTCGGATGAGTTGGAAGAGCTTCCGGTAGTTACCAGATGCAGCTGCTGCTTCCAGCTCATTAGCACGCATCGACCACCAGGCTTCTCGGTCCTTACGCAAGCTTTGCCCGATTTCCTTACGTAAAATCCTTCGTTTATGGTCAAACTCACGGTTACCCGGAGTAGACCGACGGGCTTCAATGAGTTGTAAGGAACCAGAAGAAACCCAGTGCTTAAAAGCGGGACGTTTCGCAAACCCACAACTGACTGTTCCCGCCATTTTCATGGCGTCATGCAATTGCAACCAATGCTCATCTATACTTTTCGGTGGAGTGGTAGCTAGCCTAGAGGCTAGCTCGGTTCGATACTTACTTGCAACAGAAGTTGCAACCAGCTTGCTAACATCAATCCGTTGATGGCGTTCACTTCGTTGTCCACTGAAAAGTAAGGCAAGATTGGCGCAGACCAAGGCATGGTCAGAGTCCAGATAGGTACTCCAAAAGGAGCGGCAGTCTTGTACACAACCACGCCAGCGGTAGCTGATCGCGATGTGATCAATCTGAGTCCAGGCTTGAGATGCAGAGGGAGGACGCCAGGTGGCACATCGGCGATGACTGTGCCGAAAGTTAGTGCTAGCCAGAAACAGGTTGTGGTCTGCGCAAAGTTGCAGTAGACGGTCCCCGTTATCTGACCTGCGACCAACGAGTCCCCATCGGCCACCTAAACGACTCTCTTCTGTGCCTAGACGCCCGACCTGAGCATTCAAGTCTCCGGCTAGTACTACAATATCTGTCGAACGCACTTTCTGGAGAAGAACTGATAACTGGTGGTAAAACTCATCCTTGATTGCATCCGGGCTGCAATCTGTCGGGGCATAGGCGGAGATGACGAAAAGACATCGTTTCTCACGCCGATTTCTTCTCACTTTGATGGAACTTTCTAATCTAACAGCACATAACCGACTGTTAATGGGGATCCAATCGACTAGTGCTGCCTCAGCTCTAGCGCTTAGTGCGACACCAACGCCAGCAAAACCAGACGAAGATGCCACAGGGTCCCCGGATAAGCGCACGTAAAACAGGCTTTTCGAAGCGACAGATGGAGATCGAATTTGTAGTACTTCGCCAGAGTCTTGAATACGGGTCTCGGATAGACAACACACGTCGATATTAAGACTTTCCAAAGACATAGCCAGCCCTATCTGTTGTCCGACCTGCATAAATGTGCGAACGTTGAAGGCAGCCAGTTTGAATGATGCACGTGGTTTCAGAAAATCTGCTTCAGTCCTCGTATTCGGTGGTAACATACAATTTACAACCGGACAGTGACTCGAGAACGTTTAGATACAGTCGGAATTCCACCAAAGACGAGCCGCTGTATAAGTATAAAAGAAGGTGAATAATGTGGAAAATAATAATATAATGATAATAATAACAATAATGACAATAATAGTAGTAATAATAATATTAGTATTAATAATGACAATAATTGTAGTGATCATAATTTGAATCAATTGATTGTTTTTCAAAGCGACAAAGGTAATTTCCATGGACATAGAGTTCATCATTTGTGTGTGGGCTGTGATACTGCCCGGGTGCCCAAACCGAAGCAGGTGGTTATCTTAGGGGGCCACTCCCCGAGCCTTTGACCTAAAGGTCTAACCCACAAGGCAGTGGAGCATCGTAAGGAGATGCAGTCCCATGGTAGCCGGTGACCAACGATTGGTTCATACGCCATTCGTTCCCGCAGGATACTGGAGCCCATGTGCACCATTGGTTTGGAATCCGGTTAAAGCGCCGGACATTCGCTTTTCGTCCTCTCATTTTCGTAAACAACACCCCCGCCACGAGAAGGCAATGAGTAGGACTTCCCTGGCAGAGGCTATATACGCGTGGCCGTGTGAGAGTATTTCGAGAGGGAGAGCGGACTCTCCCCACTCTCGGCCGTACCAGGGCATTCAGGGGGCAATAGAGATTAGGGTTTGAAGATGGTATTCAAGGAGTATAATCCAGTGGAATAAATTTGGAAAGAGGAAAAAAGAGACATGAAGAATTCAGAATATTATAACTTTGGAGAACACAAAGAGTGGATGCACCTGTGTCATTGCAAACGATTTCGAGCTATGTCATTTAAGGTCTCTAACCATCGGTTGCTATCATCTCGTGGATCCCAACCAGGTAGTCTACACCTACGAACATGACTCAGTCCACTTGTCAGTGACTCTATGGATTTGTGCCATATTGGATGATGAAAATCCATCATATATCATCTTTGGTTCATTAATGAGTGATATGCGAAACTAATTGTATTGAACTAGTTTTGATTAACTAAATCAAAACTATCAACATCCGTGAATCTATATTTAACTGTATAATTTATTGTTCATCATTTACTTGTACGTCAATCAGCCTTATATTAGATTTTGTGTGATGGATTCAGAGCATTATGTCATTTCAGACTGTTAGTGTGTCTCAGATGTGAATGGGTCTATTTTTCACTGTTTTCTGGTTTTAAATGACTTGTCAGTTATCGTCAGTGTAAGTTTAGTAAAAATCGAACATTTGGATAGTATTCATCGACATTAGTTAGAGGATAATAGATTATTAGGAAGTTCCGCTTCTATTTTGAAAATTGTTGATAATTTGTCTATCATGGATCGATGAATTACAGGTCTCACTATACTCGTAATACCGTTCGATCATTAAAGACATAACCAAGCTTTCCACTTGAGAATCCTATGTTTGATCCTACTTAGGGATGTAGATTTAAAATATCTTAAACTAGAATGAAAACTAATAAATAATCATGCTTACTTTTAATTAGTTTTGCCACAAATTCCTCTAGTATCCTAGTGAAAATTGATGATCATAAATATTGCTCGAGTCTGAAGTAGAACAGTAACTTCTTGCAGATGTTCGTTGGCTGTTGAATCATCTAAAGAATTGATTGAAATAAAGAATCTAGCTAATTATACTTTAACTCATTGATATGAAAGTATCATACTAATTATGATAAAGAAACTCGATCTCATGATCAAACTGATAAAGAAGTTTGATAATAGAGCTTACTAATATGTTTAATAACCCTCAATTTCTGATTATTTTATTATCCGATAATCGTTTGTGTAATTTATGTGGTTGGCTCTATAAGATATTGATTGATAATATCGGTGAATTTTCATATTTGCATATAGATTATGTTTGTTCAAAATATATGCAATCAATTAGTGATCTGCATAGTTTTACATTCTTTATTACAGATTATTATGCTAAATGCATTCAGAAAAAATAAACTATTGTTTTCTGTATATTTCTTATATCAGGTTTCAGAATGTAGTACACTTCGACAGATTCAACAACAAGGTGGTGGTTTAACTGGACCTTTCAAAGAAGGTGTTATCACGAAATGGTTGCAATCACAAAATATTACTGAATTGGATTATAAACGAGTTAGTTAATTTAATGAACTCAATAATGATGATTTACGTATGTTAACATTGCTATTTAATACATATCAGATGATTTACATTGTCACTAAATATGAGGATTTATACTGGTAAGATTTATCGAAAGTAATCATAGTATAGAACTTTTGTCTATCACACGTCCAGAAGCGTCTCTGCTTAGTATTCAAATGCATTCATAGAATAAGAACTATAGAAAAAACGTTTTCACACAGTCAGTTTATCAAATTATATTTCAATGTTCACTAGTGATCTGTTCAAGGAGCATTGTTTTTTATGCAGGTTTCGTTTTGTTAAAAATAGTTCTATGACGACATAGTTGACTACTAGTGATCTGGATATACAACAGCTTATCAATATATTCATTACTCACAATAGTACTAATGAGATAGTATCACACATTTTTGACACGTAAACGTATTCTTTTATTATCAATACAATAATATCTATTTGTCAGCCAGAGATCAAGTTTGACGAATTTCATTGTAATCATGAACCTATCTAACTCAGATCACCATTGAAAAACTGGAAGCACTGAACAATCGTTTCGTCTTAGTACGGGACTCCCCAACAATGAGCGTTCACGGCCCACATATGATAGATTTCTCTATTTCTAATCAATCGACTTAGTTATGCTCCACATTGCATGTTGACATAATTTCTTTTATGATAATGTTGATTGATTACATTAGTGATTGTTTATTATTTTTTTCTATTATAAAAAGGCTTTAGATAATTTTCTACGTTCATTAGCTGGATGCTGTGTAGCAACGTATATACTCGGTGTCGGTGATCGGCATAATGACAATATTATGATACGTTATTCTGGCCATGTATTTCATGTTGATTTTTCTAAGGTATTTGGAAATAGCCAGACATTTGCTGGTATTAAAAGGTTTGTAAATATATGTGTACATATTATTTCTCTGTTTTTTTAAGACATAATGTAATTATTGAGTGTTTTTTTTTGTATGACAATGTCGGTGTAGAAACTCAAGGTGAGTGTCATCCTACGGTTGGTTTAGTTAATTGGATTCGAGCTAGTTTTGTAATTGTAAATTGATTCTTTGGTGATTGAATTTCTCAATCCGATATGTAGCAACAGTGCACCTCTTTTGTACTCTCATTGAAGAATGCTTAGGTAGACAAGGGATATAATACTTCTAAGATAAGTTATTAATTCTAATTTCTCTTCTTAAGAAAGGAGAACATATGTGCATGGAAATATAGATACATGGAATAAAGCAAAATAAACACATCTGTGAAACTTTCGTGGATCAAATGCCATATTTCTCATACTAGAACGAAACAGTTATCTAATACTTTCTCTTTACAATAGTTCTGCACTTGGTGCCAAGGCAGGACCAACTTTAATTTATACTAATCGATAAAAAATAGGGCTGAAATTCTTTGTGTTAACTACAGACAGTTAAACGGGTATACGTTATGTCTTGTAGGTGTACTCCTCTCCTTGTGATGACTACAAACGTCGACAGTGTTATGAAAACGGTAAAAATTTATTTTCAATAACTTAATCTCCAGTTATTTGAGTTATAAATCTATTAATTTTGTTTTATACTAAACAAAGATGACATATACGTGAGAGTTCTGACTAACTCAGTCGCTGCTATACATCACGGCTTGCGTAATTTCCTGTTATGTGGTCACTAAAGTTGAGCGGTCATTAAATATGAGGAGCAGAAATAAATAAGACAGTGAACTATGATTATTAGATTTAAATTATAGGAATCTAATGCAACTTCAGATAAAAAGAAATGTCTTAGTAATGCAAGAACATTCATAACCATACCATGTATGTTAAAATCGTTGATTAAATAGTAAAAAACATTTCATAGGGAGACGAATATGGGGTTTAGGGTAAGACTTTGTAAATTGTAGTCAACAAAACGAGATCAACTTTTGGTTATCACAGCAAACAAACAAGCGAACTGATTACCTTTTCAAAACACAGATTAGGTTTCTTCTAAATGATATCAATGTCATAAGTTATCACTTTATTAGTAAATTATCCTGTTTGGTATTAAGTTAAGTGAATTCATAAACATTATTTGTCATACACTTTTCACATGTATCCATTAGGAGTTCTGCTTCATCAAAATCTCTTTACATTCTCAGCAAAATTGATTAATTAGCATTATATAATCAGTTATTTGATTTATACATTATTGCATTAATGACCACTATACAAAATGTTCTATTTGTGTTTCCCTTCACCATTATTTTCCGCTTATGACATATGATTTACTATTTATCAACTTTTTTTTCACAGAGATCGTGTACCTTTCGTGTTGACACAAGATATGTTACACGTGTTAAATACCTATTCTAAAGATGTAACAAATTTACCGTATGGTGTAAATAATTCATCAGGATTTGGTTATACACCAGGTCATGGGTCTAGTCATTCACAACAAGGTGTACAAATCTTTATTGACAGATGTTGTGAAGCTTATAATTTACTAAGACATCGTTCATATCAACTTATTTCATTGCTTGAATTAGTAAGTGATGTGAATAAATGTTGATAATATTTTATTTGAATTCCCGGTATTGTCTTAACTGTTATGTGGTTGAGATTATGTTGTCTAGTTTGATGTTATATTTTTTCCGTTTAAAATTGAAAACCTCATCTCGGATAATAATTTAGTATGGTTAGTTGGGAATCACTATTAAAACTGGGCAATACGAATTTAGCTGATTTTTTACACTTTCCCAACCCAAATATATCTAATTTTATTCAGATTATGGTTACTATTGGGAGCTAGGACTCATGTTTCGTCTTATTTAGGGCTTGTCACTTTGACCCATTTCGACCTATGTTTGTGTTCCCACTGAGACTTGAACCCAGTACTTGTCGTTCCATGCCCCAACATGTTATCTACACGTCAATCCACTCAAGATGAACATATATTAATAGATGTTAACCACTTTTGGTTTTTAAGATCACCAAGAAAAAGATGCAAACTCTGACAAATAAATATGTCGATTTTTGTTATCATCAATCTTAAAAATGTTATAGTCATTTTCAAAGGATTAATAGATGTTTAACAGTTATCCTGTATCTTCTAATAACTAAATCCATTTATATGCTACAGTCTTGGTCGAAGATGACTTGGAATTTGAGTAAATTTTCCTATACTATGTACTGAGATAACATTAACTGATGCACATATGTGTTAGCTTCTCTGTTTGTTATAACTGACTAAATCTTTGTGGTATAATTATCACAGTTTTTTTATCCCTTACACCTGTTATTTATCTCTTGATTTGATTTTTTTCTTCTAATCACAAAGAGTTTATCAATGAATATACCAGGATTGAATCGTGACTGTATTCGATTTGTTTTAAGAGCATTACGATTAGAATTGAATGATCAAGAAGCGAGCCAATATTTTACTGAGTAAGATAAGAAATATTTCTATTATTACCATTATCTTTTGAATTCCCTTTTTCTTTTATAAAATGGCCCATGTGAAGTGCACTATGATGATGAATTCATTTAAAAAGTAGTTCATCAATAAAATGATCTGGGGATCATTTTGTAATATACGGACGTTTTCTGTCTGGTACTTGCGGTGGCATCTAATTGAAAAAAATGTGTCAGCTGAACTTTCCATATAAATGAATCAGTGAATTTCCCTTCACTAATTGATCGCTGATTAGTACCCAAAGCCAATTAAAAATAACTAAACAATAGGACATGTAACAACAATTAATGAGAGTTTGCAATTAGAGGGATATAAAAATACTATTATAGAAGTATTTAATAATTATATAGTAAAAGTATAATATTGGTTTTCTTATGATAGTTCTGTAAGTCCATTATTGACGACCTGCTTGAATATCTGGGCCACCTGTTTCTGTCATCCTGATATTTCAACAAGTTAACTGATTTTCTTTGTTTTGACATATCATTATGTCTATCAATTTCATAACCTATTCAGCCACGTTTATAAAAGGTTTATGACCATTCGCTGTAGAATTTACAAAAAAGTACAATCAGAGACATCGTGGTGACTGGCAGTATGCATTGAAAATAATGAACATTATTCAGATGTCGTTTCCTGAACTGCTACGATCTAACTGGCGATCACTCAATATTTACTGTCAGGATCGATCATAAAATAGGAAAACGAAACTTGCTGGAATACTTTGTGCTGAAAATTCTATATTATACCAAAAATGTAATATTGAATAAAGCCATTAATAATAATAACAATAATCTTTCACAAATTCAAACTAATATATTGGTCAAATAATCTCATTCATGTATAATGTTCAGTTGCCATTAATTTACAGAATACTCATCGATAAACTATACCAGCAACTATGAAATGCAGGTTCATGGCCTTTTTTTTTATACAGCTTCCAAGTGTCTTACTATTGCAAAACATTCATTTGATTGCTTTGTGGAATAGAAATAGAAATTCGTATTTATTGAACATGCACGACAAACTAATCAGTCTTCTAATGATAATGATAGTAACGTAGATAAAGATCACTGGTCGATTTACATTTTATTCGTTTTCGTTCCAATGACTCACCAATTCTTTCTCGTTTTATTATTTTTTTAACTAATAATTTTTAACAGATTAGTTCGTAAGACTTTACACTCAAAATCTTCTAGTCTGAACTTTTTTGTACATGGATTGGCTCAAGTTAAACAAGCTTCTCATGGTGGAGGTGTTTCTGGCACAAATACAAATGCATCTGACAATAATTCCCCTCCAATCATAAACAATCAATTTGATAATCATTGGAATACAGATAATAATATTAATAATAACAATAATAAAAGAGTTAACAACAATAATTCAAACATTAGTGGTAAATTGGTTAATGATTCAAAGACTCGATCCCCTCCGACTATAAGTAATTCCCTTTCAAATTACACTGGGACTGGACAAATATTTAGTTTTAACCCGAAACGCTTCACGTAAGTCTTCTCATATAAATATTATGTATATGTTCGATTAGAATACTAGCTCAAAATCTTTAAAATAATGATGATTCATTTCTTGAGTTGTTATTGGTCATAATCAAACACTCTGGGATTAGTTGATGAGAACATTAAATAAGTCGATGTTTCAATGTTGCTTCGTTTTGAATATAGTAAAACGTACTTATTTGTACAATTTCAAATGTTTCCTCTATTTCTACGCAATAGTTCCTTTGAAACAATCTACACTAAAGATTCATTTTAGTGAATGGTCTAATACTTAAAGATTTCAATCATTTGTGAAAAAAGACATTTGAAGGAAGTTTTCTACAGTCATCTCTCTTTAAAGTTGTAAAATCATGTTGTTGGTTACTAGAAAAGAAACTGAAATTCATTGGATCGGAAATACGTTTCATACTCTGTCTTGTTCTCCTAACAGAGTTAGATATATAACATCGAACTGTTCTTTTTTCTTGTTATGACAAAATAAAGAGGGATTTCTTTCTGGAACCTTTTCAAGCATCTTCACAATAGGCTAGGCTTTGAATTATGTCTTTAGGTATTTGTCGTTCTACAACATTTTTTTATGTCAGTGATATATTTTCCTCAGCAATTCAAATGAATGACGAGAATAATTCAGTATACTTTGGCTCAATGAATAATTTCTTTAATCTTTTTTAAAACTCGTCCAAAGTTTCCCTTTTTTTCTCCACAAAAAAGAACACATTTGAAGAATAACATTTCCTCATCAAATTCTTATCATATATTTTCACCAGACATAGTTTGTCGCCTAAATACTGACGTTTACTACTTCTGGTACCTTTCATTCTAAGTTGCTATGGTTTTACTTATGTATAACTCCTTAAGAGTGATTTGATAAGCATAATTTATTTTTGAGAAAACCTAAGATAGTGTATTCTTTTTTGTTTCATCTATATATTGGCAATCGGTAAAATGTATAATGCAATGCAGCGAGTCATTATTCTGCTAAACAAAACAATTTAGAACAGTACATTTAACTATGAAGCGATCAATCATTTTATCTAATTCATACTCTTTTAAATTTAAATCAGAACATTTCGGCTAGATGATTAATGTGATGATGGGCTCATAGTTGTATGCTTGTTATTGACATTATGATCTGATACAACACTCGAATAGTCAAATAGAACTTAAGTTTGTTTACCATTTTGCTGTGATAGTTTGTGACAGGTTCTGAATTTGGAGTGAGCCGGTTGAATAATATTTTTATTACCCGTTTTTCTTCAAATTCAGTCGCATTCTTTTATTCGCAATTAAATAAGTTTTAGGTAGAGTTATGATCGACAAGCAAATAAACGTTTCTAAGTGGGGAATGTTTTATTAGGAAAAAAAATACTTCATGTCGAGGTACGTAAAAAAATATTTTTATAAATGCTACATCTAAAATGAAACATGTTTTTTCTTAGCTCTGATTTTGACGTTTTTGTTTAAGTAGGAATAATGATGGACACTAGTTTACGACTTATACACATCTAATCTACTTCGCGTATACTAATGTTTATTAAAGCCTTAGCCGTACGAAAATCCAAACCCCCTTTGCGTATTCAAAAACGATTAAATGTAAACTCGGTGATATGAAGTTGTCGTACTACCATTGATCCACGTCTCTGAGAAGTCACATACTAAAACTAAACAATCAAGTTTTTATGATTGCCTACCTGAACTCCAACTGAGTTAACAGTTTGTAAAATATTTTATGAAGTATTCTAATACTTATGGATATTTTTTAAAATATGTGCATATATCATCTTCTGGTTCATCTGTAATTCATTTTTCTATTGCTGAATTACTGTAAGAGCAATAAAAATACGAGGCATCAAATTATTCGTTGCCTTTTAACGATTGTTAAACTAACAATTTCAAAGCGTATTTTGCACTTGATTGAATCAAATGTCTAACCTTATCAGTAGTTAATTGTTTTATCATTATTATTATTATTATTATCTAAAGATGATTATACAGATTTTTTTTCTAGAACAATAATTGAGGTCCACCTTTTTTTATTTTCAAAAAAATAAGTTTATAATTATTATGATAATTTAATAATTATGTTAACATCAGAGTGGTTGAACTTCATTGATATTATGTAAGGAAAATTTTTGAAAAGTAGTGAATAGGGTGAATCAGATTACTTACCATACTTTGTAATTGCAGTATGAAAAGATGAAAATGAATTGTTTTTCCTTTATAGTATTTGAATTTTCTTTAATAACATGAACTCTTGTCATTTGGACAATAAAAACACTTCTTTTCACTATAATATCTTCCTTTCTAACTATTAATAATAGAGTATAAGAATAAGACACCATTGACTAGTTAGCATTTTGGCTGAAAAGTAACATTCTAGTATTTTGATGAATAATGTTCATCAAAATTAAAGTACTTAATAGATACAAGTAGTATTTCTCTACGGACTTAACAATACATAGTTGTTCTTTAGAAAATCAGTTGAATAACGCTTCCAATTATGGTTTTTTTTTAAAAAAAAACTCGAATTAAAAATATCAGTAGAAGTACTAGGTTCTTAAGGTAACAAAAAAAAAAAACAATCTGTTTGACTCCCCATATAAATAAACAGGTCAAATGCACTATTGGTCATTAGTTTATATAAAAAATAATTTTATTTCACATACATAGTAGTTCTCTTTATCAGCTTGAAGAGAGGTAGAGCAATCATTTGAGCAGAATAGCATGAATTCGTTTGATTTCATTTGGTCCTCGTCAACTGCTTACAACCTGTTATATATAAAAATGATAATTACGAATTGGATTTAAATTAATTTCATGAAAGAGTTTATTTAGAAGTTACTATGATCGCACATCAGTAATAGTTTAGCAAGGGTATACTTAAATTTAATAGACTGAATAAAATATTGTAAATATATACCTCCTTACGTGAAAGAATATTCTATAACATTGGTAGTAACAAAAGTCCAAAGAGGTGGAAGCAGGTTGTTACGTATTGAGTAAACGCTGATAATAAGTAATAATAAAATGAGTAAAGCACCGTAAATAAAAACAAGATTGCTAATCTAGAAGACAGTTGGAATGGAAATACGTGATGATGTGATTAATTGAAAGAAAGAGTTGAACAAAGTTTTATGATGCAACAAAGGAATATTTGTCACCAAGGTAATAATAGAATAACAACCAACTCCTTATGAACACATAAATCAAGATCTTAACGCCTGATAACAACGGCTTCAGGAGACTGGAGTTTGGATACTTATTAATAACATAAGGAGATCGGATTTATGATTTTTGAATACCACAGGTTGTAAGCAGCTGACGAGAAGCAAATAAAAAAATAATTTTTTTAAAAGAAATTGGCCTAATCAAATAACTGCCGATTTATTTCAAATTATCAAATGTTATTTGCATTTTTAATATCAGTGTACTTAATTCCTGACTGGTTTTCATTTTTATCGTTTCCTTTCTTTTTCCATATTTGTATATGTCTATTTGTTTCTACCTCATATTCAATAATAAAACTATCAATATCATATTGACAGAAATGACTCAGATGGAACTATTGATGCGATTGTAGTGGAAACTGCGGTGAAAAAGAAAACCGATGATAAACATTCCGTGAGTTTGGTTAAGTGTGAGGAAATAAGTGAGAGAGCATTTGATGAGTTTGCTTTTCTTCCATGTTTCCTTTTTGTTCTATAATCCGTCCCATAATCACAACGTAGAACCTGACATGAATATGTTTCGGTCCACGATGCCACACTTCACATCGCATTAGAGTGAGTGTTGGTATGAAACGGTGAATGATAACCATTAATATGAATTTCTGCGGGAAACCAAAATTTTAAAAATAGTTTAACAAGAACTATTTGAACTAAAGCGTGGATAATGTGGAATGGAATCAAGCACAATATTTAAAGGAAGAGAGAAAAGTAAAACGGGACCGTGTTACTATGCCATGTTGCCTAATGTTTCCAAACCGAGATCATAATTATCGTTCTGAATTTAACTAGAAGCCCATATCTTTCTACACGGCTCAGACCGGCGACCACCGAGTGCATAAACCAATGACATGTTTTCAGTTGGCGGCCCCTAACGTTTTTCTAACTAACTTTTATGCTAACGTACAAAATCAGAACCGACGGTCAATAGGGCTAGACAATATATCTTCCAACCATGTCATTCGATATTTTATGTACTTCTTTAACCTAAACCTCTACACCTAAGTTCGATATTATTAAATTGCTGGCATCATCATACTTAACCATTTCTTGTGAAATTCCCATGATCAGAATGACCACACCCTTCTCATGTTTCCCCTGATTACATTGGTCATGCTTCATTGCTTTCAAACAATAGAGAGGAACCTACTGCATGGTATACTCACCCTTTGATGAATATTACCCCTGAGTTCACTAAAGTCTAATAGGCTTTATATATTCGTGGATAAATCTTGTCAGTTGCAGATAATTGAGATGTTTTACACATCTGACCACATCTCTTTCAATCATCAAGCGAATCGTTGACTTAGACGAGTTTCGAAGCAATATTTTTCATTCAGATGAAGAGAATCTCATCTCAAACATCTTTGTATTACAACATACTGTGTTCAGAAAGCTTACATTCGTCATCTGGTAAAAAGAAATACGTCATTTGATGAATACTCTAATTTGTCTAGACGCTTTTCGGTTGATGGGTTAATCTCGTGAAAGTTTGACGGATGAAACGCTTTATTTTAAACGATATGTAGGACAACATTTAATAAGTCGGAGATAGTGAACGAATATCACTTGACGTAGGTAGTTCCATTAACAGTTCACTGTAAACTCTAACTTGATTCGTAGTGTACGTTATAAAGAACCTTCAATGGGTTTAAATATTTTTCCAGTGTGCTTTGCTATGACAAATACTGTCATAAAATCTATCGATAAACAAAGTTATGTATAGTCTTCTGTTCGTGGAATGAGACTACAGTTAGACGATACTATGTCTAAGTTCCAGAACCTCTAGTGAATGATGCATATCTATTCATTTTGTATACATGTGTGTTTATTGGGTTTACTGTTTTAGAGAAGTCTCTAAAAAGTCTTCAGATACACGAAGGATGAACTGATCTGGTTTTGTATTTTACTTTCTTGATGTTAGGTGAACAATCATACTTAATTTATGCCTCGGCGAAACACGGTTACCTAATCTTTTTTTGTGTGATGTGAATATTAATAGTAAGATATCGAGAGACCAAGGATAGCATTTGTGCGCGCTGTTTTATAAGACATTAGAGATAACCTGGGAAACATGAAAGTAAACAGTTGACGAGCCCTTGTGTTAATGAAGGTGAGTAAGGGATTAGCACTTTTCCCTTACTTATATTGTTGTAGAACATTTATTTTTGAAGAAACTAACCAATCATCAAAAGTATTGTCGACTCATTAGAGCGACTGTGGATAACGGTTGAAAACTCTTTAAGAGTAGCTCTCTCTATAATATTGGATCCCTACTTCTTGAAATCTTGCCACTGGAGCTGAAAATTCATAAGGAAGGTGGGTGAAAACCAATCTTTTCTAACCTATATATCTGTCTCCAATATAGTAGCTTCACTGGAGGTGCTAATTATCCATGGGAAACAACCGTCTGCCATTGTATTCCGGTGAAGTCGGTAGTACCATTTTGTTTTACAATCTGAAAGTTTCTTCACTAGGTCAAACTAACCTGTTTGTCATGGCAGGACTTCAGTAAACATGTTTGCAGTTTTTTTTGGCCACTAAGATATGCCAGTTCTACCCATATATCAATGTAACATCTATGACGAAGTCTGTAATGTACACGTGTTATTTTTCACGTCTTACATACCTGAAGTCGTTGCATACATTGTTCTTTCTAAAGATTTATTGGCTATCGTAATACACTTCAACTATTGATTTGGTGTAAATGTATTATGAAACTTACCTTCAAACTTTACACTTAAAGCTACTGTAGAGTTATATTTGAACATAATTTTCGAATTGTTTCATATATATTTTGTAAAGTAAATCGTTTCTTTCTTGATATATGTATTTGATAGTAATTTATATTTCGTCCTTATAGGATTATTACTTCCCAATGAATGTTTGGCGGGAAAATTGTCGAGTTCCAACTAGAGTTTATCGTCGCGTTTCAGATTTAGAAGAATTAGAAACGCGATTGCAAGAACGTTTCCCAAATTCAGCTGTTACTAAAACTGTGTCGCATATCATGAATGCTTTAAATTCAATAAGTATTAGTTCTACACGATCTCAAGATCATGTGCAATCTTTAACAGACAGCTTACTTTCAGATGATGATATTGTGTCCAAAGTAAGAAGTTAGATAATTATTTTCTTTGTCATCTACTTTTTATTGGGTTTTTGATAAGAGTTCATTTCGTCTTGACGTTAAATGTCAGTAAATCCTAGCTTTTGATGGTATTCAGAAACGTGATTTCTTTTAATGCGCGTTCTAGAAATGAGAAACCACAGAAAGCAACTGTAATATCCTATCAATAAATGTGATCAGTAAGTCAGTTATTAGCTACGTAGCATCTGACGCATTTGTGTATCGCTTGAGGTAACATCACATTAGCACATCGTGTTAAATGCCAAATTGTTAGGAGCAGTAACAGTTTAACACCCATTCCTACTTAAAACGACTTGATATTTTAGAAAGTTGTAGAAATCTCCATATTGTGAATGAGAACAACATATGTAATATTGTTTTCAATTAAATCCTTAATAGGCTTTACTCTCATATACAGTAATATTTATTTATTTGACCGATCAAGACAGTTTCACTCAGTGATATCAGTGGACATAACAGTGGAATAAAAATAATAGATAAAAAATACAAATTGATCGTGTGATTACAGGTGTACTAGTTGTGATAAGAATAATAGAGGCTTGAATCTGTTTCATTATAGCAAATAGATTAGTGACTTTATAAATAGATTATATAATAAGAAGCGTTCAGATAATTGGACAGTGAAGTGTATTTTTGGAAAAAAAGGGGTGAGGAAAGATAAATAAACAAAGAGTATGGAATAATAATAACAATAAAAATCCGTCTGTTAAGCCTAATCCGGCCAAGGAAGAGATAAAGATGTTACAAATTTTTTTTATGAATACAGACACTTGAGCCAATAGGTCGAATTCCTATATTTCCTGCTTATTCAAAAAGGAAAAAAAACAAAAATTTGTAAAAAAGGTCATTAGAATTATAATGATACTTGAAACATCAATCACAAAGTCGCTTTAAATCATTAATAAACATGATGAAATTCTAGTTTTGAGCAAACATGAATATTTCTTTTGTAAGTCATCTCTTTTCCATACTATACTATAGTATAAACATGAATTTACTGATTATGAAGTGATTTATGGTATCACACTACATTATTTCTTGGTAACCATTTACTGCACGGCCATCTTTGTATTGTTTTTCGAGTGAAATGTTTTTCATCCTTTTTTGAAAAAGTTTTCATCCCTATCTTCTTGATATTGTTTTGTAAACCGGTCAGTACAAAAAATATTTGTCATTATATTTAAATCGTTGCATGGGAGGTGTTGGAAACTAAAATTGAATTTCGATACCGAAATATGTTGTATTTTAATGTATGATTGTCTTAATGTATAAACTAAACTAAATTGAATAAGGCGTTCAGTGCTGGTGTATAAGGGTATTTTATGAAAAAAACTTATTTTTTGAAAGCCACATTTGAAGATTGTCTCGACATAATAACTGACTGACAGATAAATAACAATGTAATTTAAAACAACAATTCATACGCTTTATAAATCGAAAAATGTTAGCAAAGTACTGTCTAATACTTTATTCTGAAACTTCACTGTAGCCGCCTTTAAAAATGACGTTGGCAACGTATAATCCCAGTGTTTTCTTTATTTCTCACTTGCTCGTACCAATAGTGTTTTGTTTGACAAATAATTTGCTGATATCCTACCAAAAGAAGATCTACCTAGCTATTTTGTATTGGTATAGTCAATTGTTTACTTTGCATGTATTTCATACAAGCTCTTTTCTCTTTTAAAATACATTTTTTTAATCAGTATAGGGTTGTGGAGACTGCTGACTTTCAATTGAGATCATGAACCGATCAATGGTAAACTACCATTGGAAACCTGGGTTCGAGTCCCGCGTGCGGGATAGAGGATGCGTAGCGCCGAGGAGTCTCATACTAGGATAAAATGGCCATCCAGTGATTCCAGATTTTCAATGGTGGTCTAACATTGTTCGGTTCATGATCATAATTGAAAATACATTTTTTTGTACATAATCATTTTTATTGTACAATAGCAGTTCACAATGTTTTCTTCATTTGAGATTTGTATACTGCCAGGAGATATGTCGGTAACAGCATTGCACAAGAATCCTCCAAAATGGTTAAAGTTCATACAAAGAGATACTAACAGCCGCAGCTGTTCTTATATGGGCATATCCAAATAGTGTTAATAGGAGAGACGGAAGACAGTTAGCAGTTCCAATGCAGCTAACCATTAATAAGTGAAATTGAAATCCTTATTACATTTTAGTCAATTTAACCTAACACTTATTTTTTTTAAAAAAAAACACAATTACTTTAAGTTGTTCTAACTCGTTGGTTTATCTGAATATCTGATAAACAATCAATTTGACCAGCATAATGATACAAACATTAACTTTTAATTTAATTAATTATTGTATTAGTTGTCTGAGTCTTTCCATTGATGTTTAGGACTGCAGTTTATCACTCTCTTATTGGTATATGCGCATCCTGTGTGGATTGCCTTGATATTGCCTTAAGTCACAATCGTTATAAGCAGAGATGGATAGTGACTATCAGTGGAATTCAGGACTTGCGTTTCGTTCTATTTGGTACTGGTCAGCTGGATGCACCTGCATGCCATATGAAACTGTTCAATTTCAGTCTCAAACATCAATGGGAGGACTGAAACAACAAAAATTAAAAACTGAATTAAAAATGCAATCCATTGCACAAACTAGTGGCTATCTGGACTCAGTAGCTAAATGGATAACGCGATGGGGTTTGAAGCGAATGGTACTGAGTTCGAATATCGGAGTGAACATCAACTATGGGTTGTAGGTGTATCCGGCTGACGAGTCTGGAATGGGACGAAACGCGCATCCTAGACGCCACTGCTAGCGGGTATCCTTCTCTGCTTGTTTATTTTCACTTTATGCCTGCTTTGATATGCTTGACTCATAAAATATTAAACTATGTGATTTCAAATAAACCACTGATCAGAGTCAATATATAGTCAATAAACTTTTCTTACCTCAGATGTACTCACATACACACTTCTCTCTACATTTCACACCAAATGTCTCATACACACTACAGCAAATTCTTACTTTCAATACTGTCATAATGACTGGATGACTGTTTAGGATGTTAAACGGAATATGCCCATTGAGACATAAAGAAAGATTGGTTCAGCGAAGAGTTCTCTTTTCAGAGAATTCATTTTCAAAGCCGTACAATCGCAAATATATATACATATTTTCAGGTTAAAAATAATTCTAATAAACACGACAATAGTGGTAATAAAATTCTTCCAAACATGGTAACATTGAAGAAGAATTGTATTGTCGTTTGTTATGTTAAGCCCATATAACTTATTCTAGCTTACGGAGAGGCCAATCTATTCATTCTACTTGAGTCACATTTAGACCTTATTAATTACTGGCTTATTAACCTTGACTGTTTTTATCTAAGCGTATGTGTGTGACCTTATCCCATTCATCATTTGTCTGTAGCTTATTTTTTTGTTGGGCTATAGTGATTGATTAAATCGAGTTGGCTCATTCGCCTTCTCCACTGCACATCCTTTTGTTTCACATCTCTGTTCTTCGCTTCATTCGCTGCGATTCTCTGATTGTCTGTTCCGATCAACGAGTGTACAAAATACAAGTATTCAAAACTTCATTCTCGTATTTGACCTATTTAGTTCAGTTATACACTAACGCGATTTAAGTCAATAATTTTATACGAAGATTGACGATATGTATATTTCAATATCAATCAAACATATGATATAATGGGAGTCAGATCCCGGGCCACTAAAGAATGAACAAAGATATTAAAACATTATTTTTATCAGGGGAACTAATAATAGTTTTATTGTTAAGGGCTTGAAGATTCTTATGAAGACAAATAGGGAAATTCAAACTGAAAAAGGATGGCTCTGCACGATAAGATAAATTGTAGAAATTGATATGAAATGTAATCAGGAGGATCATACAAACAGAAACAAACCAGTTGGAGGTAGAAGGGGAAGCAGATGGTTGAGAAGGAAGAAGAGTACGAAGAAAAAAGAAAATTATGAGATATTAAGACCATGGTAGAAAAAGAGGTTGTATCAATTTTGTTTGGGCACACACTTCCAGTTTTTCCAGATGTATAGTGATTAATTCGGTGATGTTTAGAAGATGCAATATAACTGCCTTTCACAACCTTCTACGTAATTTTGAACTCAGAGTCCGCTTTGTAGAGTGGCCTGTGCTCATATGGTGTTTGATTGTTGAGCCATTCGATTATATTTCCTTGAAAAGGCTTGGACCAGATAACCGAGTGAAACGTTGGATTCATTTAAGTTCAATCATTGAGATTTTTACAAATATTATTTTCCTCCCTGCCTTACATTAACTCATCGCCCAACTACAATGAAACTATTCGTTCAAATTTAGACCGAAGTTCTTATATCTACATTAATTTAGATATTATCCGTTATTTATTTTTATCTAACAAGCTATATTTTTGTTTGTATGTTTTTTTTCTCATTTAGAGTGCAATCGTATATACTTTCTTTCACAGTGTATTGTTCGATGAAAGATTTACTGCTGAAGACATGCCATCACAAGGTTAGTCAGCTTTACTTTCATTGTGTATCTGTTTGATTACGTAAAAAGTAGCGGTGTACACAGCAAATTCGATTTTGTTCGTTTACTTATTTCTAAAGTCAGGCTAATTCACTGTTTACCATTCATCAATAACCGATAGTTTAGTCTTTTTTGGTTAAGCACTAAGATTGAAATCAGCATTGCGATCATTATATAGGTGCCATAGAATTCTTCTGGCCTTCTAACCGATCGTAAATTTTAGAGTATTTGCTTTCTGAGTAAGATTGTGTTTGGAGGTAGGAAATAGAAAACCCTAGATCTAGGTTTCGTACTATTTGGTTCCGGCTAGGATTATATTTAGTCTTGGGGAAATCGATGTTCCCTGACCTCGCATCACCCATATTCACAGTCAAGGATTTTGCCAGTGATCTATTGACGTCATGACTGACCTGTAGGACTGCGTTATATTTACATCTGATAGATTACTAAGTAGTGACCAGTGTCAAGTCTTTTTCAACGCTGATAGGATTCTGTGAATCAAGCTTTTGGGTGACATCGGATCAAATTCTTCAGGTAGCGGCAGTTCCATTGTTGACTAGTGCTATACAGGATGAAACCTAGATCCAGAGTTTCCTGTTGGCTACTTCCAACCGCCACCTAACATCTCAACACAGTGCACACAATATCAAGTCACTTAGACTAGTGGTCACATTGGAACTTGGTGGATAGTATTCGATCATCACTATGAAGTATTTGACATACATAAAATTGTTTACCACTTGGTGATCAGTTAGTTGTCAATTTATTTTCTGCTAACAGCTTCATTAGCTCTTATGCTGGTCACTTATGGTTTAATCAGCTAAAAGTAGCAGTTGACAGCACAAGACCATAGAATATGAAATTGTCCCTTGCTAAAATCTGTTTTTCATAGGAAATTTAAGTAATGAAATGTATGGCATGAATGATAACCTTGCTTATATTGTTGTATTATGTTTATCTTGCATGGATTAATAAGCTCGTAAAATTAAAACAAGTCGAATTTCCTTTAATGGCCTTGTATTCAAACGACCGTTTTAAGATCATGGGTATCAAATTTTTATGGTTTGCTCATGCTTACTTTACTACTACATCAGATTTTCTCCTGAATAAAACAATGAGTAATTCTCGGTGACTAGAATCAAAATGAAGTATGATTAACTGTTAATTTTGTGATAGCTGAATAGTTACATCCCTGATCTTGGGACCGCTGTCTACTCATGTTCGATCTCGACTCACGTACCTCACTTTCGACTGCTGGGACTATAGTCATCCGTGACGTCATGTACGGTTGAATTTCGATCATCATAATTTACATCAACTATGGATCCCCCCACTAACTTAGTACTTTATTGAGTAAAGCGTAACGCATACGATATACTTCTTGGAAGTACTCGTAGGAATTTTTTCATCAAGCCTAATACAGTATATTATATTATTACTTCACAAATTCATGTACTTCAGAAATAATATCAGTGACAAGATAACATCAGCTGATGGTTTATTGAATATAATGGAAGTTTGGACAACTGCTCCGTTCTATTTTAAGATCTTTTATCAATGGGCATTTTAAATAGGGTCTAACTAAAAGCTTTTAGGTTTCCTGATGAGCACAGTCCTTCAATCAAAATACAATGAGCCTCTTCTTCTACTTAAATAAATTTAAGCTTTACTTCAATCATTCTCTAGTATGGCTTGTAGTGATTTACTTTAAGGTGTTCATATTTATGACAATGTTTCTATAAATTGTTTTCTTGAAGTGCAATGATTCTTCGTCTGATTCCCGTTTGTAATAAAAATTAAACTTCCATGATATTAAAACTGCAAATTACAGCCACTATATTTCTTTCGTCGTTTACATACGGACGCTTGATCACGTTTATGCAAATATCATGGATATCATTAACATCCGTCGATCGAATTGAAAAAAAAATTGACAGAGGCAAAAGTATGGATTTTCACGTATTCATTACACAGTGATGAACCAATTAAGCCTTACTAGTCAGTATGTCTCATAGTGAACTTGTTCATTATAGTGTGAATGATTTAAATCATAATACTTTATAAGTGTATCCCGTTTTTCTTTTCAACTGTAAATAAAAGAAAAGAATGAATTATGAAGTAATCATTTTTCGTATAACAATGTTTGTGTTATATTGAATATGTCACTCTTGTTATACTGAATTATGCATAAACTACCTACCTTAATATGACTAGTAATAATTCATTTCAGTATATGTTTTCTTCATTATAGCTGTTTAATTAACTTCTTCGTGTAAGCATGCTTAGTTAATTAAAACTAGATTATCTAACACTATATACATATATGGTTTCTTTACTGTTTTCGGTATTTAACAAAGGTTTATTTTCTGTCTTCATCTTATCCTAATTTCATTATTTTTTAAAAAGTAAAACAGAAGGTAATTAGTATTAACAAATTGTCTTACTGTTCTATCTTAACAAAATTTGGAATTGTCTTTTCTGTTTGAACAAGATTTTTTACTTTCATTTGTTGTTACCTGGAATTACGAGTACTTTAATGCTATGATGTTAGTGTACATGTTATATTTGGTGACTAATATTTATAAATTTCACAGGTTGAAATCATGAGTCAGTTGAAGCTAGACCACCATTGAAAACCTGGAAGCACTGGACGGCCGTTTCGTCCTGGTATGGGACTCCTCAACAGTGCGCATCCACGATCCCGCACCACGCAGGGCTCGAACCCAGGACCTACTGGCTTCTGATAATAATAATCAACTGCTCACTGGTGACTGACTTCAGGAAAAACTCCTGAAGTTCTAGTGAGAAGCCGTTACCAGTGGAGTTCAACCGGTCTGTTGTGAGATAACAACTCACTGAAGACAATGGTGTACTGTGGCGCAACTTCGTGGATTGGTTGAAGTTAGACATTAACACCGTTGGATGCCGGCTCAGTGGTCTAGTGGTTAAGTGCTCGCGCGCGAAGCCAGTAGGTCCTGGGTTCGAGCCCCGCGTGGTGCGGGATCGTGGATGCGCACTGCTGAGGAGTCCCATACCAGGACGAAACGGCCGTCCAGTGCTTCCAGGTTTTCAATGGTGGTCTAGCTTCAACTGACTCATGATTTCAACCTGTGAAATTTCTAAAATTCTCCACAAAACCCATTCTGATAATAATATTTATAACTCTGATAGTTATAAACAAAGCTAGACCTTGTTAAATTATAGGTTAGAGCAAGTTGCTATAATATACATCAATACAGTGAACGTAAAAGATATAAATTAAAGAAGTGTAAATCTCAATATCTACTATAAGTAGAGAGCTGAGTGTAGAAATTATAGTTCGAAATGAATGAAAACTAAATTGCTGATTGAAAGTTGTGAGGTGTAATGGAAAGTTAGATTTGGAAGAATATACCTACAATTCAGTTATTGATGTCAATTTCGAGCGTAATCAGTTAGTACTTGCGATCACAAAATTCTCTTATCTCGAAGACCTTAGCCATGAAATATTGCAACTTTCCGCTTTGATCAGTCAAACATATAGTAGATTATGTGACAAGTGCCATTTTGTAGTCTGAACATCGTTGTCTCCTTGCAAACGACATTTCCATAGGCTTTGATTTTGCATGCGTGATACTATAATGCATAATTATACTATTAAAACCAAACCGCTTTTCCTAACTAAAGTTGGCTTTTTCATTATTTGTCGTATTTTAACATTCTTAAAATGATCATTCGTCAGCACTTATCCTCTAGAAGTAAAAATAGTTTGTTTATATATGGCGAAATAAGTACATATAGTCTCATATAAATTACAGTTTTCTTTCATTTTGTTTTATTTGAATCTTCCGATTGATGTTTAGGACTGCAGTTTATCACTATCTTATTGGCATATGTGCATCCTGTGCGGATTGCCTCGATATTGCCTTAAGTCACAATCGTTATAAGCAGAGATGAATAGTGACTATCAATGGAATTCAGGACTTGCGTTTCGTTCTATTTGGTACTGGTCAGCTAGATGTACCTGCATCCCAGAGTGGGCATTTTAAATATGGTCTAACTAATAGCCTAAAACTACATTTTCGCCTTCATCATTTGATCAGTATAATTTGCAAAATATTGTTTTCAAATTCTGATAGATTTTAGCTTACAATACAAATTTTCTACATACTTACGATATTTAAAAGTAATCAGTTAATTTTTAAGATTAAATAAATTTCACAACTCTTGAATAAGCTGATAAGTGACAATACACAATTAGTAAAATAAATTTCTTATCACCTTATTGTGGATTTTTAAAATGTTATATGTGGTTTAGTTAAATTACAGCTCCAACACATTTTCAGTTGATGAAAAGAAACAGACAACCAAATTCTGTATTAAACAAATTTGTGAATAAAGCATTGTTGCTTACAATGCTTGTGAATTAAGGTAATATCTAGGCAATACTCACAGTATACACATATACCAATAAGAAACTGATCAATTGCAGTCCTAATCATTAATGGAAAGATTTAAGCAAACATTACCAAGTGAATTTAAACTTCACCCCATTGCACAACCAAGTAGCTATCAGGACTTAGTAGCTAAGTGGACAACGCGATAGTATTTTAAGCGAACGGTACTGTGTTCGAGTCTCAGAGTGAGCATCCACTCTGAGATGCGGGTACATCTAGCTGACGTGTCCGAAATAGGACGAAACGCGCGTCCCGGATCCCATTGCTTATAAAGCATTGTTAGTTTCAAATATTAGCATTATATGGAAATGATAACTTCGTCTTCATATATTCTCCGTTTTCTATTCTATAGCTCATTATTAGTGGTTTAATTTAATGCTTTTTATTGTGTTAGACGTTTTTCAAAAGTTTAGTTCATCTAACCTAATTTGTGCTAATCAAGTTTGCCTTTTAATCGTTAAAAATTTTTTAATTCATTTCACAGTTTGTAAGTAAATATTCTTGTGTCATAAAGCAAAGCTGATTACTGGTTGACATCAGTTGGAAAACTAGTTGAAAACCAGGAAACACTCGAAAATTATTTCATTCGATTTTAAATAATACCTATGAGATTAATGACAAGAAATCTACCTTGGTATAAAATGCGAATAATCTTCACCGAAGATAATGGATTTTAATCACAGCTTATCGCGAATCATTGGTAGTTAAACAATATATATCAAATTCTAGATTCAGTAGCTAAATGATATCATGCTTTACCTGAGGACACTACATTCAACTATTTGTGGGATTGTATACACATATCAGTCTAATGGTTTCAGTCATTTTGACAGATATTTTTGGGATTTCTCAGTTTTTAATAATTAGTGTCACGTCTTGATGAGAATTATCTTCAAAGTGTGATTTGTCTAACTGCATAATGATTTTTTTGTATAGAGCAAATAACAGCATATTGAAAGAACACAAGTTTTAACACTAATAATCTTAATTTTTAAAAAATCGCGAACTAATAACATTCCACATAATTGTTATATGTATCTCTTCACTCCTTGTGATCTGTTCTTCTATGAAAGCTGTAGCCTTCAACTTTTACAGTAAATTTAATAGGATTAAAATCCAGTAATTCATATCTCCATCTCAACTTGTTGTTGAATCCTTCTGATCAGACTTGTTTACCTCACCTGTTATCGAAAATCCGAAATAGTTCATTCTTTAAATATCACTTTCAATGATGTTTATGTGTGTGTTTAATTGTTCTCAATTAACCAACTAAATTCAACTCACCTTATGTTTACTTACACTGGATTTACGCCTACTTCAATCTCTCCATTTCTAGTCATTGTTTGTTTGTTTTTGAAATTCTAGGGCTGACAACATCAACTTCATCATCATTAATCAATTGTTGGTCATCTTCATCACCATTACAAGATTATTTACCTGAAAAATCTAAAGAATACACAACTCCTTTACTCATTCCATCATTATCTTCATCATCATTATCATCGTTTCATTTGTTTCATAATAATTCTGATGATTTATTAAAATCAACATATAAAGTAGACCATTTGCCAGCTGTACATATTCAGTTATATTTAAGTGAGAATTCCAGACGTTTAGATGTTTTAATCAAGCATGCCAGATGTTTAGTAAGCTTTTCTTGTACAGTTTTTATGGTACTTACTTTCTTTAATCACTTTCTAGCTTGTTGTTACTGTTATCGTTGTTCTGATTTAACTTGTTATTTCGGCTTGTTAAACTTAATTATATGTGCGTGGGATGGGCATATGATTGTTTTTTTTGATGAATTCATTTCCTTCCATACATTAATGATGTTATGTATAGAAATGGATGATTGTTTTTTTCACCTATCCACTTTTCTGGTTATTCTTGTTGTCTGAAACAGTTTCTCCTCTTCCTAGTTTGCATGTCTACGAAAGGTGTTTACTTGAGTGAGCTTATGTCATGCTGTCCGATCAACGCTAAATGCTGACTGACCTCTGTCTATGAGATAGAAACAGTCGCTAGTTTAAATAACTTAACATTGTGAAGCATATTTTTTTTGTTTAATGATACACAATCTGAGTCATGGACTGAATGATTAGGATATACTCAATGCTACAGCTTACTAACAAGCATTGCACCTAGGTCTGTAGCCGTCTGTCTGTTTCTTTTAAGGTGTATTTTGAGGAGAAAATAAGTGATAAATAGTTGATGATGAGACTACTCATTCGTATCAGTGTGCAGTGATAATTGTTTCGGTAAATGTTACTTTTGGTCTGTGCATCCTGTCATTGTCTGTTTTTCTTCTACATACCGTGCTTAAAAAGGGTTTTCAAGGCTGTTTTTTTCAGAAACATGTGGCAAATCAATATTCTTGGACAACATCAAATATGATCTGTGATCTTTAATGATTTATTGATCAATGTAGAAATTTATCCCTCCTTAAATACGTAACCTATACTTCGGTATATGTCCATGAGAATTTCATTTTTCTTATTCTAGCTGACTGAATGATTCTAATTATGATGAGCACTAGACTTTTGGAAATTTTGGAAATTCTTAACTTACAAGGCTCGAAGTCTGCTCATCTTTTTATAGTTGCGTAACCTGTTCTTAACTTTCTGCACGAAACAATATAGACCATAGTATAATAGATTGTTTCATTGTCATAGGCATGCGCACAAAAAGATTATTTTCTCTGTCACAAGAGAGATTCGAAGCTAATATGCTATATGTTTTAAGTAAATATATTTCCAGCTGAAAAAATATGGTAATTGTTATGAAATCATAACTTGTAATAACTGTTCAATCATCCTTTTTCTATTCTTTGTTTCCCATAATATGTATAAGATACTGAAATTTCGAAAAAATCAATAAACAGTCATTTTGCCATAATGATATTCTTGTATTCTATTGGTAAGTCTTTAGCATGGAGACTGAATGCATAATTAATCGGTATCAAAGATGTAAGCTAATCTTTATTATCGATCAGTTAATAGAACTATCTTCAACTGTGCTAACTCACTATATTACATTTGACTGAATATAACCTTTTAACCTCACCTAGCCAGCACGATACATTCATCCATGAGATAAAAATGAAATGGTTTACACAGTGGTTAATCGTTTATTACTCATTACATTATACTCATTCACTTTGATAAATGATGACATCTGAAATCGGATTAACTAATAGTGGCAATACATTTTTCATTCAATCACATGATGAAAAAATTTTTATTGACAAGACTATGCATTGTGTTGCTTATTTCTATGATTAGGCAAAATTGAAATATTTCAACTCTTTTATATTCACCTATAAAGTAATATGACTGAAATAATTGACAGTTGGATTTACCAAGTTTTTATTCTTTTACTGAAAGAAAATCTGGGTTAAATTATACAAAGATTGCTCTGTTCGGAAACATTAGGCAATATCACATGACATTAATGTTAGAATAGCTTACGTATCAACCCGATTCATCTGTAATATACTAGGTGAATTAAGATGCGTTTATCAAATTAATTATGTTCTGTTGTTACTGTTTGTTTTTACTGAAGCCGAATTCAGATTCACATTTTGTTGAAACGTCTCTAATTGATCATATTGTTGTGCGATAAGTTATTATGTAATCGAATGTAAAAAATTATATATCTCTATGCATACATTCTGTTTAAGGTCAACTCCAATTTTGATCTTCAAATCTTTTTTTATATATTTTAGTACATCCCCGGATCGAATGAGCCACCAGATGTGTATGTAAAAGTTTATTTACTTTCTGGCCGACGTCGTAAAACAACTAAACATAAAACAAACATTGTTCGACGCTCTAGCTTTCCATCATTCAATATCACAGTAAATCGTGATCATGTCTCTTATTTTGCAAGAGTTTGTTTTTTTCGTTTTGTAGTATTTTCCTGATCTTTAGAATGCATAGATCTTTTGAACACTACCTTTGTTTGATACTTTTTTTGATAATATTTACTGAACCGGTAGTTTCATCTTATCTCTGTATTTGTATAAGCAATGTTCTTTTAAACCAAATAGGCTCTTGTCGATATACCCTATTTGTCTCCATTGTTCAATAGATTTTGGGAGATCTCTATGTCAGATGATGTCTTTCCTCGTGATTAGACCTGGTACATGTTAGAAATAAATGGTCGTCTCAACTTGGCTGAAATATATAGTCAACATTGTCTGTTCGTTGAGCTGAAACACTATAAGACTCACTTAAGTGTCTTTTAGCTTAGTCCAGATTACCTACTGAAGCAAATAAACCACCTGCTATGATTGCTACGTCTCAGCGCTTAGCTTTTTGAAGAAGGCCTGATTGCTTTTTGTAAAACTCATCTGTTTTTGTTTATCCAGACTGCAGTCAATGGAAATATAGGCAATGCAATACGAGAGAGCCTGCTCTGACTATAAATCTAATCATTTGTTTGTATCAGCGTGAACACAAGAAGTAGAAATCAAGTCCTCAGATATACAGAGGATAAACCGGTCTCAATATTGGCTAGGTGAGGTCGAGGAAATAACCACATTCAGATAGTATAAGATTCAGAGAATTAGAATATTGATCTGACTGGCTCGGATTTTGGAAGCTTCAACATATTTAGATTTTAGTTTCAAATTATCAAGGATAGGATTTTCTAAACTGAACCCCTTAGGATTGTGGTGCTTGGAAATAAAGGTAGAGTCATAAGAAAAGTTAGCGAAGAAAAGTTTCTTTTCTATGAAAGCATTTCCTCAAGCTATACCTTCGTATTTATAGTTGTATGGTAATTATATGTCTATAGAAGGATAAAGAAGATTGCATCATAAATTGATTCGATACTCTTATTATCAAATGAGGTTACGCAATAATCAAGGTGTAAGTGATGATTATAAGGATGGAATTAATTTACGGGTCAAAAATTATAAAAGATAATTGTCCACTTGACAGTAATGAGGAAAAACTTAAAAGTTATAATAGTAAACATTGAGTAATAATCATGAAAAATTGTTTAGGGGTAATAATAACTCATTACGGTTCGAAATTACAAAACACTAAAGAAGTCAATAATAATAAACCAGAACATACCACAAAAAGGAGTTAGGGCCAAAGAAGGATGAGAAGTTGGACGTTTTCGCACGCAAAGTTCGGGCTTGAATTGGTTTTATTCGTTAAATTCTCTATATTTTTATTCAATGACAGTGAGTTATTTTAATTATTTGATTGAAAAAGTATTAAAAAGTAAGGATGGAATTTAATATCAGTAGTGTGATTTCGTGTGTTGTTTTGGTTATATGAGCTGTTGTTCACAACGTAGAAGGATGCTCCTTCTTGAAGTATACATAAAGGAATCTAGATTAATAATAGTTTTAGCTACCTAGGAGCATCAAAGACAGCCACACACCTTCCTTTTCGAACTTCGTCACCAGCGACAGAAATCCGTGAGCTAAGGTGGGATATGCTAATTTTAGTACTAATCTTTCCTAACCACATTTTTCTGCCATGGAAAGATACCATTGCTGTAGATGCTGATTTTTTGAGGTAAACACTTCACTACCACCCCATCCCAATAAATTCTATTTCACCCTTGGGTAATGCGTTTTGTGCTTTTAGTTGAACCGTCCTCCAGCTGATCTGTCTAGCATGATAGAACATAAAAGACCAAATGTTCAACTGCTATAGCCATATTGACCCATCATGATTGGAAAACTGGACTACTATCAATGTAGCATATACATTTGTGATGTTTGACTAACACATGCTTAGAATTCAGAATATAATCAGAGCAAATAAGATTTACTAGTTTTACTGGGCATATATATTAAACGGAATGTTAATATTAGTGCTGAAAGTTTTAAACAGATCATTAATTGACAAATGGCTCCCAGGATGTGATAGCTTGAATATCATGGTTTTGATAATTGATCGTGTTAGACGGGATACTATTGAATATGACATGTATTAGTAACTTGTCCCCAGTGATAACATTACAAATGATTGAACCTTCGTGTTCACAAGATTATTTTCAATAGTCGAAATTACTTAAGAATTGGTAAAAACTAGATTTGATAGAACTTGACTAATGTATATCTGTTTAAAGAATTATAAATACGATTTTATTCTGATATTTTGGCGTTTACTAAAGTAAACCAAAATATGTTTGAAATGTATTCGTTAAGTCTCAGACTTTTTATTATTATAAACTTGTGGGATCTTTTTTCTAAATTATAGAAGTTGTTTTCCTGTTGCCTAATTGTAATGTCGAGTTTCTTCTTTTTTTTACATTTTTCACCGATTAATATTTGGCGACTTCGTATTATTAATAGTTTTCCTATGACCTCATTCCAAATGATATACAGTGTGGTTTTATTGAAGTTTCTGCTTGGCATTCTGTTCATATTGGTGAAAATATACCATTTGGACAAATCTACATTCAACTGAAATCAATTCGTCCAGGACATGTATACTCAAACTGGTATATACTATGCTCAGATCCAGCGTGTTTAAGTTAATTCCTTTACGGATAAAATACTAAGCCTTACATTCTGCCCACCGCTTTCAATTTATTTATTCTTAATACACATAAACTAGTTCCGTCGTTGGAACAAAGTATACATCCTAAACTTCTTATTTCTGCTCCATTATCTACGAATTTAATTTGTGACTCGTTTATTTCAACTACACATGTATTATTTATGCATTAAGATCATTCCAGCTATTTAATTGTCTTCTCACTATTATATTTTTATTGCATCAATGAAATTTCCTACACTAACAAATCCCATATTATAGATCCACTGAACAATCAGCCATCTCATCTATTGACACGCGGAACGAAGCAGCGTGATTTCTTACGAAGCTGCTTAACATATCGAAAACTTTAAAATCCCTCTTTTTTCAAATGAGTAGAATACATACATTTATACGTATACTTAGTTAGTCACCTGTTTTTAGATAGAAAATAAAGTAAGCTTCCGTAACCATTCTCTCTTACTCATATGCTCACATTTCGGCATGTTATAGATTCTATTGTATTCTACTCATTTCTTTCCATTACCAAGAAGCAGTCAGAAATAATAAAAAAACTAATCTGACTTGTAAGCAACGCTTGCATTTCCTTTGTTCTATTTCGATAAACCTCTATTGTGTAATAATTTTATTTTCATGTATTGTTTTACAATGGTCAAAATCGACGTGTCGGAATACTTCTTTTGTATGATATGAGTCTAATAAATAAAATAAAATTTGTATTTGTGCTTGTAATCACTGGAATATACATATACACTAATGTACTGTTGATTTCCTTTTATATTGATCTTTTTTATTGTTGTGATTGTTTTCTCTTATGATTTGTGTCTACTTGGTTGTGTAAAATAATGTCTTTCCTGTATGTATATAGAATAATAACTGTTTATTATAGTCTACATAATATTTTTTAATATTTTTGAAATGATTTTTAATGTGATTAATATCCATATGCTCATTCGTTTCTTCCTTTTTTGGTAAAGATTTTTATTATGAAAATGAATAAAGTGATTGTAGTTATAAACTATTGTTCCATTGTTTTATGATTACAATATGGTATATGTTAACAAGTGTAATACTTCAGTTTATAAAATCGTTAACTACTGGCCTAATCCATTTTGATGTGCGGAGTTCCTACTTTGGGCGATCATAGTACTCACTATCAACGGTTATAGACTTAAAGTAACATTGCACTTAAAGTAACATTTGAAGTAGCCCGATTGTATTTATTCCCTATGTTAGCATAAATCTTCAGTTAAGTGTTATTCTTAACTTGTCTTTTGATCTCATTTGTTTATTTCGAACTGTTTCCCTTTGATCGTTTACTTCATGAATTGATCTTACTTAAGCTACCACTGGAAAGCATGAAACATTGGACAGCTGTTTCATACTAATATAGAGCTCAGTCATATCCATTTGATGACCTCTTAGGTAACTAAACCAAAGATCTTCAGAGCTCACAACGAACGCTTAACGTTAAGACTTGGGTCGACATCCAATGGTTTACATGTCTTCAATCGATTCATAATTTCGCTCACCTATCTTCCATTATCTACTTTACACCTAATACGATCCAACGCCAATGATAACGATTTCTCATTAAAACTTAAACTTTCCCCCGAAGTTTTTCACTAATGAGTATATTATTTTTTGTTGATGTTTCCAACGTTAAATTTAATCCCTCCCATTTACTTCCATTCTTTGTTAATTTCCCTTGTGCTGTCTTGTAATGTATTACATGTGCCAATATAGATTCACGCCAGGCCCCACGTTGGTTACAGCTAAATGAGCTTTGAAAATATTCGTCTTTTCCATCTTAAGAGAATCATGGTCACGTAGAAAACATCTACGCATATATGAATAGACTAATGGGAGTATATCATTTCGATTAGTATCCCATTGTAGAGTAACATTAATACTATGGTTTTGTGGTCATAATCAATGAAAGCCGATGAATACACGATTCAGCATTAACAGTAAAAGTATTATAATGAAGGGAAATGTAATCTACTGACTGCAACACGCATATGATATTTTATTCTTTTATTATATTCTCCCAAATGAAGTTCATTATTTTGAAACATTTTCCATCTCATTTTGTAGACATAAGTGAAGATAAATAACAGATATATTTGTATAAGCAGATTTCGACATATCAAGTATTTGATAACATTGGAATTATCCATCCTTGCAAATATTATTACCAGTCATTGTTTCATCTAATTCACATGGGGTGACTACAAATTAATATGCTTCCTAGGACAAAGTTACTTGCAAAGTATTGTTGTTCAAAAATCTTGGATAAACAAACATGAAGTCATCCTGTTTTGTAGTGTCATACATTAGATCAACTAATATAACGAAATTTCATGAAATCTACTTAGTTTTCAGGTAACTCTACTTGTTAAATATCTTACAGAGAAGCGAAATAATTTCTTAATGTAATTCTAATATCCATGACATTCTCTAGTATTCTGTAAACAAATAACTACTTCTGATAAGCAGAAGAAACGACACTAATTGGAATTTTGAGTTTCCCTTGTCAACCTTTATGGTATACTTTCTTTTGGTTCGAATTATTTGCGTGTACTTTAAATTTAAGCGTACCATTCATACATAAAAAAATTATTTTCATAATATAGACCGAATGGATATAATAATAGTACTTTCACACTGTTGATTCTAATATTTCAAGGAGTAATATGGTTAACTTAGCTTACTACTTTACTGCAGTGGTATGATTTGTTCGTTTTGGTTAGCGTTCTTTTAGCAAGGTTGTTTTCTAGGAGTTGGGGTTGCTGACCCCATACCCAACTCCCCACCTTTACCCAGGCTTGGGACCGGCAATGACCCTAGAAGAGCTACGGCATGAAAATTACTTACTGTATTTCAGTAATCCTACTATGAACAAAATTATGAAACACTTAGAGAAGAATATTCGTTTCCCCAACCATAAATGACTTTAGTTAAACATCTTGTGCATAAAGAACACCTTCAATACTTAATTATATGTTCTCATGGTCAGTTTATAGACTGGGAATTCAGTTCTTTTCTGAAATTTATTAGGCTTGAATTTATGGAGTCGTTTCTGTTGTGAATTTATGTCCGGCTTTTATCACGTGATTTATCCACCAATCAAAATACGACTTATACAATCTTAGCACTGCGTCAAACCAATGGCGTTCGACCGGTATGAGCAGCCTAGCGTCCTTATTGGTTATATTTCCGCCTAACCCGTCCACTTGAGTTCAGAACACCAATATCAGCTTCCAATATGTGAATCGAATAATTTATTTCAGACATACTGGGTTTATATATCAATCAAACAGACCGCAATGCACTATAAAATAGGAAATAACATTTGTACACAATAAAGCCAAAAAGTGACTGTGAACGTGGGAGGCGGTAGTTAATAAACTGAACATAGCTTAAGAACCGTAAATCGTACAATAATGAATTGTAGGTCAAAATAAAGCTTATAATAAGAGGAATATATATATATATAATCTAATTATTGAATAGTTACACCATCAGAATGTATAGATAATATTAGTCAATTAATATATCTCAGAAGTTACTTGTGATTTAATCTTCGCTCGGATATAACAGTTGATAAGCAGAGATAAAGCGACATATTAAACAATAAGAAAATAAACTTGATGTATTGTCTATAGAAATCCGTTTGGTTTGACAGTAGTGACTCCATGTTAATTTACGTTAAATATGAAATATATACTAGTGAACATTTAATGACTATTTTACACTTAGTTGGTTACAACAAACTACTTGCCACAAGTGTGGTTGTTGGTGATTTAAAGCAAATTCCATTAGTTCACACCGATAAGAATTCTGAGATTCAAGTTATGTAGTCCAGAGAAATATTGTTTTGAATTAATTCATAGTGATATTATAGTAAAACCTTACTCATAATTATTGTTCGGTTCAAGTTGTCTTGGTCAAGACATTCTATTATTAGTTTGTCAGTTGTGTTTCTTTGAAAAATAATAGAAATGGATGAATATCCCTTGCTTTTTTAGTGAAAACAAACTTTTTCAACAAGCAAACTGAGGTAACGATCAACTATTTTGTAATAAACTCATTAATGGATATCCATAATACAAATTATTCATGAGATCCAACTAGGTAGATTAAATACCACATATCTAAGGCCACACATGTATACATTAGATATCAATTACTATAGCGACTACTCATATTGATGGCGTCTTATGGATTTTTTAAAAGAAATTTAATTAATTTCAGTTAATTGGAAAAAATATCAATTTTTTTAAGAGATAAATGTTAGTCATTTAGTAAATAGAGCTAATTCTTCACTTCTATCTATGCAATTGACATCATGTTCCCTCTAGATGATGAATATAACTTACTTACTTACTTACGCCTGTTACTCCTAATGCAGCGTACGTTGCCGACCAGCATTCTCCAACCTACTCTGTCCTGGGCCTTCTTTTCTAGTTCCATCCAATTCTTGTTCATTTTTCTCATGTCTCTTTCCATTTCCCGGCGTAATGTGTTCTTTGGTCTTCCTCTTTTCCTTTGGCCTTGAGGATTCCATGTGAGGGCTTGTCTTGTGACGCAGTTGGGTGCTTTCCTCAATGTGTGTCCTATCCACTTCCAACGCTTCTTCCTGATTTCTTCCTCCTCTGGGATCTGGTTTGTTCTCTCCCACAGTACGTTGTTGCTAATAGTGTCCGGCCAACGGATCCGAAGTATTTTGCGTAGACAGCTGTTAATAAACACCTGTATCTTCTGGATGATGGCTTTCGTAGTTCTCCAGGTTTCTGCCCCATACAGTAGAACTGTCTTGACATTTGTATTGAAAATTCTGACCTTGGTGTTGGTTGACAGTTGTTTTGAATTCCAGATGTCCTTCAGTTGTAAATATGCTGCTCTTGCTTTACCGATCCACGCTTTCACATCTGCATCAGATCCACTGTGTTCATCAATGATACTGCCCAAATACGTAAAGGTTTTTACATCTTCCAAATCTTCCCCGTCAATTGTAACTGGAGTGGTGCATGCTGTGTTGTATCGGAGAATCTTGCTTTTCCCTTTGTGTATATTGAGACCTACTGTTGCTGAGGCTGCTGCGACACTGAATATTACAGATAACGAATATAATGCTAAGTGTCAGATCTGTTCTGACTAATACAGATTTAGAACTAGAAGTAGATCTAGAAGAACAAAAAGGAAGCCTGAACATTCATACAACCTGGACCGTTTTTTCCCAGACAACTACATTTGACCCTATTTATTTCAATGGTTGAGATCATGAGTCAGCTAAAGCTAGACCACTATGGAAAACCTGGAAGCACTGGATGGCCGTTTCGTCCTGCTGTGGGACTCCTCAGCAGTGCACATCTGCGATCCTGCCCCCCGTGAGATTCGAAGCCAGGACCTATCAGTCTCGCGAGCGAGCGCTTAACCACTAGACCACTGAGCTGGCATCCAACGGTGTTGATGTCTAACTTTAACAAATCCGCGAAGTTGAGCAACACATTCACTATCGTCTTCAGTGTGTTACTGTCTCACAACAGACCCAGTCGAACTCCACTGGTCATTGCTTCTCATTAGATTTCCAGGGTTCAAATCTCACGAGGTGGGATCGTGGATGCGCACTGCTAAACGGCTGTCAAGTTCTTCCAGGTTTTCCATGGTGATCTAGTTTCAAATGACTCATGATCATAACTATTAAAATTGCTTTAATATCCACAAAACATCTGATATTTACATTTTATACTACCGGTAATATTTACACTTACGATTTCGTTGTTTTTACACCATGACTGAGGGGAATCGAACATTTATAATATGAATTTCAAGAACATTTAGACATCATGAAATGTGTAGATTTTAGCATAACGACTGTTGAAATGAAGTAGATTATCAAAATTTGTGATTCGGTAGTGATGTAGACTCATTCGATATTCAACCAGTTTTAGATTATGGACACTTAAGTAAATCATTATTCACAGAATAGATTTAACATCTCACGCTTAAACGAT